AGCATACCGCTCGGAGTACTCACCGCTGTTAGCGGAATATCGCTTGCTCGCATGAGCAGTTGGTAATAACCATCGACTAAGTCGAGTGCACTGTACAGTGTACATCCCGCCATATTGTTCTGAAGAACATCCTTTCGAGGAATAGGCGTCTGCGCCGGTATAGTAGCTGCATTAAGCTTATTGTAAGCATGCACAATACGCCACTTGCCATTTGGCTTTTTGACACAAAATGTCGGTGTTGAGTGGGGAGACTTGCTCTCACGAACCATCCCAGCCGCGTGCTTAGCACGAAAGAAATCGTCAATGACGTCGCACTGTTCTTTAGGCAAAGGCCACTGCCGTGTTACACAGTATTTAGTTCCAGGAACCAAGTCAATCTCATGACGTACACCTCTATCGGGAGGTAAGGCAGAAGGTGGGTTGTGACACACCACATCTTGAAATTCCTTGACTAAAGGATAGAACGGATCCGACGGATCTTTAAGGATCGAAGATCCACTTCGTGCACTAAGTGCCGCCTTTGTATCCTCTAGGACAGACTCATCCATTAACGAGGAAGAGTTCAACTCAGTATCAGGTCTAATGACCGCTAACTCGGATAACTCTCCTGCCTTCAAGGCCTGGCTAAACTCGCCATCAGACATTTCGTCTAGCTCACAAAGAGCGTCCACGGATGGAAGGGTTTCAAGGCAAACACTGCCATCAACCCGACCAGTCACCCCATTAACAAGTGTATACAGTGTATTGATAATCTCACTATGTGACTGTGAGGACGCCTGGCGCTTTACAGCTGCTACTCGGCGTCTCGATTGTCTCTTCGAGACCTTACTCCCCTTAGGGGTCGGGACAATATTGTCCCCATGGTTACTACCAACCATAGTATGCTCGATACGAGAGCTTTTGTCTTGACCGACATTAGGTGTGGTGCCCTCACGGCCGCCCACACCATATGGCGAATCGCCAACAACGCCATTACCGGCGTTAAGCGTGGTGCCCTCACGGCCGTCCACACTATACGGCGTATCGCCAACAATGTCATTACTGTCATTAGATGTGGTGCCCTCACGGCCGCCCACACTATACGGCGTATCGCCAACAATGTCATTACTGACATTAGGTGTGGTGCCCTCACGGCCGCCCACACTATACGGCGTATCGCCAACAATGTCATTACCGACATTCAGTGCGGTGCTCTCACGGCCGACCGCACTCGGTGTAGTTTCACGTGCCACCATACACACATCAAAGGAATCACGTCCTTGATCACTCGGCCCTAGGCCAACCATGCTTTCAGCATGCAGTGACTCGTTATCACAACGAGTACCACTCAACGGAGTACGTGCCGTTTCACTAGTTTTAGACGAGCTAGGCTCGAAACTTATGTTTGTAACATGGGAGTTAGATAACTCGGACATTCCAATATCCAGCACATTGACATCTTCTGTCAAAGGCTCGCGCCAATAGCGCTTTTGCTGCCTAGCAAAGGTGGGTTCATGACTCTCCAAAGCTTCGCTAGGAACATTGCGCGTAGCGCCTAAGGTCTTAGACCTCCAATCAATCCATGGCTCATGGCGCTCAAGCCAAGCCATACCTAGGATGAGATCATATCTCGAGTCCAAATCTAGGACAAGACAGCGCTCAATACTGTCAAAGTCTAAAAACGTTATACCTAAGTTCAATGGAACTTTAGGCACCGTTACGCGACTTCCAGTCGCTAAACGAACCGTGATAGAATCACCCTCATGCGCTGTAAGCGCCTCAACATAACGCTGACTTCCCTCAAGGGAACGGCGTCGAGCATAATTGCAAGACGCTCCAGAATCGATCAATATCGACCAAGGCTTCTCGAAGCCCTTAATTTTCGCCTCGGCGACCAACAAGCCAGACTTGTATCCACGCACCATACCCGTAGGTATGGTACTCTTTGGGGCTAAGCCCTGCATTCCTTTACCTCCTAAAGGTGTAACAGAACATAGTTCTTCCCCAGTAGGGCGCCCCGCGCCTACTGGGTGTCGGCATTTCCCCGTGCCATGCCAGACTTCTGACTCGGGGTCGAGTGTTGGCTCGTAGTCTGGCGTTGCTTACGCAAAGGGCAACCAGGCCGCAAGTGTTTAGTGCTTCCGCACATAAAGCATCGTCTTACAACGTGTTGCTGCTCAGCAGCTCGAAGCTCAGCTTCACCTCCATCTTCAGCATAGCTGAGATCCATCGGTTCCGGCCTATTATAGGCAGTGGTACCCGAATAGTTTGCTCTCACAGAGCGAGGATTGTATCCATTCCAACCAAGTCTGGCCGACTTGAAATTATGCTCAGCATTAAGAGCAATTCTCACAGCCTCTTCAAACGTAGAGGGGTGAACCCGAAAAACCTCGGTTCTGGCAATGCCAGTACGTAGACCTTCCATGAAGATAGTCACATGGACTGCTTCAGGCAGAGGGTCAGACTGCATTGCAGCCATGAGCGTTCGCAGCTCTTGGACATAGTCCGATAATTCATTCTTACCCTGGCGGGTAGAAAGAAAGCGTGAGCGCACGCGGTAAGCCTGGTTAGGTGGAGAAAACACCTGTACCAATTGTGATTTGAGCGACTCCCATGTGGGAAACGCTATGTCCACCGACGTGCTACACGTCAAGGCCCATTCTCTAGCTCTACCATCGAGCTTCGAGATAGCCAGCGAGACCTGTTGATGGTCAAGCGTGATCAGGCCTGATCTCATGGCCATCTCGATCTCACGGATCCAGAGGATGAGATTCTCACCCTCCTTGCCGGAGTAGTTTTTTACGTCCACTCTAAGTGGACGAGGCTTAGCCTCTTCGTCTGGTACAGACACGAAGCGTGTAGGCATAGCCGACGCTATTTGGTCTTGGACCTGCCCTAAAAGGGTCGCTTCATACTGCATGAAGCCGTCAACACGTGCATTAAGCACTTCAGGACCTTGTGAAACAAGAAACTCCACGTACTCTGGACCCAAAGATGCGGTCAGCTTGTCAAGCGCGACCTTTTGGGCCTCAGATAGGGGAGTGATGCTTTCCATCCTCACAGAGGATCAGTCTTAAAGACTCAGGCGTAGATTGACTACGAGTGCTACCAAGTGTAGCGGAGCTACACAGCTCCTTAAGTCAGAGGAAGACTTAACGCTCTACGAGCAACTTAGTTCCAAAGAACTAACGACTTTACGAGTCAGCAAGCTTTACAGCTTCAGATCCCTGTTCCAGGGGACCTAACGATTCAGTGAATCGACAGCACTTAGTGCTATAGAGTAGCTACCTCAAGGAGGTGTTGCTAACTCTTAGTGATCAGAGATCAACGATCAAGACGGCTCGCAAGCCACGCGTCTTTCAGATCAAAATGGGAACTGATTTTATTTAATGTTAAAGCCTATAGAATATCTTAATCCTACTCAAAGATCTTTCGTATCTAATGGCTGACACTTGTCAGCCCCTACAAACCGATAAGATATTCTATATCACCTTCACAGAAGCGAACCCTCAGGTGTGTAACACCTCTGGTACAAAGTACCATGATTTCGTGCAACCCCGTTACACCTTTCCTGCTCTCTCTCTCTCTCTTGCAATAAACAGCGATATCGTACGTCGTCAGGAGTGGAATCACATGGGATATAGGGCCGGCTTCGTGGCGCAAATGACGACCCAAGTCTCTGCTCTGGTGGAATCAGTGGCGACTGAACGGCACTTATGGACACTAGCCGTGCAGACAGTAGGACAATTGTGAACGATCTCCTGAACGAGGTCGGGACCGTCAACTGGCTGTTCCCGTGTCTGTTTGCATCGCATCAACCAGCTGCTGGACCGTCAAGACAAGTTCTTGCACGTCTGCATGACCGCAATCAACAACAAGGAGAAAATCCATCGACTGCCCTTGGAATCGTCTACCAAACCCGAGTTTCTCTCGCGCCACAAAGACCGACGGCAGGATGGGCGCCAGCAGTCGCACGTTACGTACGTCCCTCCCTTCCCGTCGACGCAAGAATTCGGTTTCGTTCTTGCGCTTGGCCTCAATAATTCACTCGATTCGTCCAGTTGGTTTGTCCCAAACAAACCTGCACTATCATCGATCAAACAGGAGGCATCGATCTGTCCATCTCCACTTCGACTTGAAACGTGCCGACGTTCGTATCCGTCGTGTCTACTTGGTCTCCTCTCACCTCGCCGTGACTGGACGTGCATCACAAGCGACCGCACGAGCACTTGAGAACGAAAACAAACGAGAGAGTCGCTGTCGTGGACTATCGATAGTCGATCTCGATATTGTCTCGCCGTCAAGCGAATCAGACTGTGACGACACGACCAGGATACTTTCGACCTCGCGACGACCCCGACGATCTCTATACAAACACCTCGACAACGTCGCTCCAGAGACCGCCCAGCAACCACGAGCGGTCGATCTCCGTCGGCCTATTTTGCACACATGGCACTAGATACTCTCCAAGTCCTTTTCCCACCAAGAAAAACACACACATACACAGATACAGACAAATACTGGAGATACGTTCGTCGCCTCCTCCTCCTTCCTTTGCATCGTGTCGATCCAGTTAGAAAGTGACAATAGACGTGCAGCGAGTGCGACTGTACGGCTCTTTTTCGCAGAAACTCCGCCCCTCCCCGTCAAGTGCGAGATGTTTTCCTTCCCTTTCGTGCACGCCTCCTAACGAACGAACTAACTCGCCTCGAGCTCGAACTCGACGGCAGCAGGTTCAGTTCCGCCAGCCGGCCGTCGCATGCTTGTAACCCGTCGATCCGACCGACCGATTGACCGACCGGCCGGCCGGCCGTTTAAACGTTCGTTCGTTCCTCGCTCTCTTGAAGAGCATTATCGGTCTTCCCTTTCTTTCATCCCGACTCCTCCAATTCACCACGTCTTCGTCTCCTTCGTACGCCACCAAAGCCGACGACGTCACCCCTCGCCGCAAATCCCCTCAACTCGTCCGTTTTTTTTCTTCTTCTCCTTCTCCTCCTTCTCCTTCTCGCCTATCGTAGGGGATGGACCGCCTTCGCAGCCGTAGCAACAGTAGCAACCACAGCAGCAGTGGAGACACTGCCGCCGATTCCGATTCCATCGCTTCCGGGTTCCCCATTCTAGGGGATAACGTGTCCCCCGTAGCACCAGACCGCCACCCGAGTATGCAGCAACCCCACTCCAGCAGCCGAAGCTCCACTGCCAGAGCTCCACGCTTTAGCTTTCGAGCGAGTGCGATTCGTGCCACAACCAGCAAGCGCCGGTTCGGGAGCACGACGTCCCCCTTATCGCAGACCCCATTCTCCTCCTCGTTATCCTCTTCTTCTTCCTCCTCCTCTTCCTCTTCGTCGTCGTTATCGTCCCTGTCCATGTCGAGCTCGTCGCTATCAAGCTCCAGCTCACTCACCGACCGCCTCACAATGATGAAGATCCCCATGCAGGACCTCAAAGGCGCGGTCTTTTACGGCTGGCTCTGGAAACGGGGACACACGTTCAAGACGTGGAAAAAGCGCTTTTTCCTCCTGAATGGCGCGGCACTGACGTACTACAAACAGTGCTGTGTGATCACGTGGGACATTCTCGGTGGAGGCATCCGCTGTCTCGATCTCCCGGTGCGAGGGGGACTTCGAGTCGCTCAGGCTGAAGCTTCGGACTTGACGAGTTTCGGCCTCCGGATCACGAGTTCCAGCGGTCGGCTGCTCTACGTGCAAGCAGGCGACCTCGAGTCCAGGACGCAGTGGCTTAAGGTCTTGAAGGACGCGCCACAGAGACGAGCCGCGCAATTGGGACAAGAACCTTTGCGTCAGACAATGGTGAGTGACCTGTCGAGTCGCCGGTCGTGCCGGCTGAATGACAGTCAGTCGCCTTCGATGCATAGTGGCGATAGCAGTGAAGAAGAAGAAGAAGGAGGACGAGGCGGACGCGAGCGGGAGATGCAGGGCTATTTGACGATCCGCGGCGGACTGCTCTCGGGCTGGAAGAAGCGCTTTGTGACGTTGCAAAAGGGGCACTTGGTGCTCCAGCGCAGCCACGTGGTGCGCCAAAGTATGGCAGGTGAAGGGAAAGAGTCGACGGACAAGCAGTTGGAAGTGTTGTCGGCAGCGGCGTGGACGGGCCACGTCAATGGACTGTGTATCCGGCTAGCGAACCACAAGGAGATGTTTGCATTTGCGGACCACGACGTGGACGCGACAATGTGGTTGACGGCATTAAAGAGCTGCTAAAGGGGATGGAAGGGCTCGAGTGAGCGAGTGACCTACTACGCGCGCACTATTGGATGAATGGACTGACTGCAACTATAACTACGCTTCAGCTATTGGCGACTCGGGAGGACGCAAGGGGCTGTCTACGATTGGTTGGAAGTAGCTGCTGGGGACGGTGGTGAAGCTCCAGTCGGACACTCGCTCGGTGTCCGATCCCATATCGCTAACTTATTACTACTACCGACTGTTTTGGCGATCGGCTGCCTGCCTGCCCGGTCTTCTTGTTTTGGGTGGGCAAGTGGTGGTCGGTCACTCGAGAGAGGGAGGGACGACGGACCCCTCGCGCTTTTGTCTGCGCTCGCGGTGCGGGTGCTGTTGGATTAAATCCCGTGCGATGGTGTGGCGAGATAATTCTAAATATCACGAAAAAACGAACAGCTTGACATTTTCGATAGTGGTCCATGATGACCTGATTGAGCGGTTTTGTACCGGTTTTCTTTTCGGTCGCAAATTCGTTACTTCACGTTCGTGTGGGTCACGCCATCAGCCTCCGGATACCACACAAGCTCAAATGTCGCGGTCGGCACTGACTCGACACGCGCTGCAAAAGTCGCTGCGTGGACAAAGCGAGCTGGACCAGTTGCCGGAAGAGACACAGCGTCGTGTTAAGCAAGACGAGCTGCCCATGTACGTGCTGCAGATGCGATCACCGCGTTCGTTCGCGTTGATTTTTATCGGTCGAGGAGACGGTTTTTGATCGGTTTTTCGATCGGTTTTAATCGGTTTTTCTACGGTTTCTGACGGTTGCAACCCGTTTTTGACGGTATTTGATTGAAGTCACGGTAACGACACGACCTACAACCTCAACACGCTGTTGCATCAGAATATCCTCCAATCAGCGTATTTCCACGAACTCTACAAGCTTAAAACGTACCATGAAGTCGTTGACGAGATCTACTACCGAGTGGATCATGCCGGTACGATACCGGTAAATGAGTCGGTATGAATGATGTGCTGTGTCGATGAACCGGTATGTTGATTGTGCCAATGTTGCGCGACGGTAGAGCCCTGGTCGCCCGGCACAGCACGCATCCCGTCCAGCTGTTTCTGTCTCTTGCTCAAGTTCTTTCTCATGCGTCTCACTGTCAAGCAGATGCAAGGTCTGCTGCGCCATACGGTGAGGAGAAACTGTATCGATTCTTTTTTTCATCGTTTTTGATGATAATGTGATCTTTTTGACGACCTGTTGGATAAAAACTGATACAAAGTGATGGCGATGGCAGGATTCTTCCTACATTCGCGTGATCGGGTTCTTGTACCTTCGCTACACGTGCGACCCGGAGAAGCTCTGGACGTGGTTTGAGCCGTACTTGGAAGACGCGGAGGAATTCAATGCATCGGCTAATCCGAGCTTGAAAACGTGAGTGACGTGTGTTGTCAGGTTTGTCGTCGGGGGTGGTAAGAACGAGACTGCGGCTGCTGCTGCTGTTGTTGTTGCTGTTATTGTGCTGTTGATTGCTATACCACGGCAGCAGGCAGTCGTCAAGCGATGAGCTAAGTGTCCTATTGTTGTGGTGGTGTGGTTGTGTGTGTGTTTTTTTGTATGTGGTGGTGTTGCAGCACTATTGGCGAGTGGCTTGTGAGACTGCTGGAAGAAAACAATTACTACGGCACGATTCTGCCGCGTATTCCCAAGAGAATCGAGGACGGGATCAAAGTCAAGGTGCGTTTGATGCCATGCATGCGAATGCATGAGTGATGGCGTGCAGAAAAGGCTGGGCGTGAGACGTGCCTTGTTCTTCGGAGGGGGTGGGGTTCGTTTCGTAGTTTTTGCCGTGAACAGTGCCAGCGCTCATGTGTTGCATGTGTACTAACAAAGCTGCTGTGGATGTGTATCGTTTACGTAGCTTTTGTTGTTCTCTCGAAAGAAGGAGCGAGCTGTGGAGAACCTGGCGATCGTCGACCGACTCAAACCTGGCACGAAAGTTCGCGCGATGTACGCTGATGAAGAGAATGAACCTGCAGTGAGCTATATTGATGCGGTAGAATGGTGTAGCGTGATTGGTACCTGACGATGTATGTTGCATACGCTAGATGTACGACGCCATTATTGACTCAGTGGAAGAAGGCAAACAATATTGGGTAAGGCTGACGATGCGGGTGACAGCGTACTACGTAAACTCTGCAATGACTAAAGTGTCCTCGTCGTCGTCGGTAGGTATCGTTTCCGGCTTATGGAAATACGGAAAAAGTCGGTCTTGGAGATATCGAGTTTGACAAGGGCACGCAACGCCGTCCACGCTCGCACTCTCGTTCCCGATCTGCTGAACGTTCTCGCTCGCGAGGGCGTGATAGAAACCGAGATCGGGATCGCGGTCAAGGCCGAAGTCGAGATCGTGGCAACCGACGAAACACCGATAGGCGCGGCGGGAGTCGCCGTGATCGGTCAAGATCACACGCAAGTCATCGATCCCGCAGCAGGTCGCGATCTGCTTCGAGGGATCATCGTCGTCGCAATCGCAGTCGTAGCCGCAGTCTCAGTCGCACGAACCTGCAGACGAGGTACGTGTCGTGCAGCCTCTGTGGTGCGTGCGGTATGCATGGTGTGTGTTTTTGTTCCTGACAGACAGCGTTGCTGCGTTTTGTGGTATGCTTGTTACAGCGGTAGCGACATCACGGGAGATTTGCTACAGCAAGTCCGAGAGCGAGAGCGTCGTAAGGCTGAAGCTGTCGGACGTGACTACGCGTCTCGACCAGCTAGTTACAAGGGCTCGTTGTCACTCAAGCTGGATCGATGGACGACGAGAAAGCGGTCACGCAGTCCAGCTAAACGTGACGAAGTGGTGGTGGTTCAGCCAGGGATGTCGAAAGGCGATCCGTGGAGCAAGTCGCCGTCTTCTGAACAAACTCATGAGACTGAAGAGCGTCTCAAGAAGCTTCGCGAAATGTACGGCGATGCATCCTCGAAGACCAACGATGAGTAGAGGGAGGGAGCCGATATGAAGCGACGCGCAGGAGGTGGATGGGCGACGTCTCTTGCATGGGTTTTTCAGTTTTGGATCGTCCGGTCACGGATCGACTTTTCCACATCCGCATTTCGAGTTGAGTGAGATGCAAGAATGAACAAGACAGTTCCAAAAGCTCGTGCACAGATTTAGACACTGTCTGAACGGGATATCTCGATTGGACCTGCGTGACCTTGATAAACTCGACGCAAACTCGACGCAAACGTAATCGAGGGCAAACGTCAGCTAAATCTGCCTGGAGTTATAACACTTCGTCGTTAAATACTACCAATTTACCCGTAAAACTGACCTCTTCAGTGCCATCACAGCTAGTGATACACTGCTAACAGAGAGTTAAAAAGCGCCGATAAATAACGGGCTGCACAAGTGGCAGGACACTAAAGTCAGAACGACTGGACCATGACTTGAATGAGACGAAACGCCACATGTTGTTACATCCAGTATTCAGCACGAACCACAGATTGAAAACGTGCCGCTCATTATCTTCTAAGGAAAAAACCAGCTCGTTACAGCGGCACTCGGAACCAACTCGTCTCTCCTCGACTTCCGGTTTCGGTCTGTAAACAGGTGACTGCAACTTCCATCACGAGCAAACGTCACGCACCTCTCGTCTCCACCTTCAATTGCAACTCTCTCCGACAGCAGCTCTACATCTTGGACGGGTTCCGAAAGTGCTTGCCAGCGTACTTGGCGTCGCTTCCAAGAGCTTCTTCGATACGCAAGAGCTGGTTGTACTTAGCCAGACGCTCCGAGCGACATGGAGCCCCAGTCTTGATCTGACCCGTAGCAAGGCCGACAGCCAAATCGGCAATGTACGAGTCCTCAGTCTCCCCGCTACGGTGCGACGTCATGACCCCCCATCCATTCTTCTGTGCAAGTGCCACTGCATCAATACTCTCCGTCACGCTGCCGATCTGGTTCACCTTGAGCAGCAACGCATTGCACGCTTTCTTGTCAAGAGCCGTAGCAATCCGCTTCGGGTTGGTGCACAACAAATCGTCGCCGACCACCTGCACCTTGTCACCAATAGCCTTAGTAAAGGCCGAGTAGTGCGTCCAGTCATCCTGGTCAAATGGGTCTTCAATGCTCACGATCGGGAACTCAGTTGCCAGGTCCGTGTACAGCTGACCCAGCTCTTCTCCCGTGAGTAAATCCGTCGAGTTCTCCGACTTAAAGTCCAGATCGTACTTGCCGTCTTTCGTCAGGAACTCGGACGAGGCCACGTCCATGCCAATGCCGATTTTTCCATCGTACCCAGCACGGTTGATGGCCGTCATCAAGAGCTCAACCCCTTCCCTATTGCTCTGGATATTCGGGGCAAAGCCTCCTTCATCCCCAACATTGGTTGCATCTTGGCCGTATTTCTGCTTGATCACCGTCTTCAAGTGATGGTACACCTCACACCCCATGGCCATAGCTTCCGAGAAGCTCTCTGCACCTGTTGGTAGCAGCATGAATTCCTGAAAAGCCAGTTTGTTTCCAGCATGAGACCCGCCATTAATGACATTGAAGCTCGGCACAGGAAGTACCAAGCTCGGGTTGCCAATGAGGTCAGCAAAGTGCTGGTACAGAGGCACCGCTTTGACTGCTGCACCAGCTTTAGCAACAGCAAGGGAGACGCCGAGAATGGCGTTAGCACCGAGCTTGCTCTTGTTCTCCGTCCCGTCTAGTTCACACATGAGGTGGTCGATCTCCCGCTGGTGACTGGGATCCCACCCCTGAAGTTGGGGAGCCAGCAACTGCTTGACATTGGTAACTGCTTGTTGCACGCCTTTCCCGGCGTAGCGTTTGCCCCCGTCCCGGAGCTCGACAGCTTCGTGGATACCCGTGGACGCCCCGGATGGGACCGAAGCCCGGAAGATCTCGGATCGATCCGATAGCGTCAACTCCACTTCGACTGTGGGATTGCCACGACTGTCGATGATTTCACGCGCGTGAATGGACTGGATCGTGCTGCGGTGACGAGCTCCGGAAGCAGTGGAGCCGATGGCATGGCGGAAGGCGGGGGGGAGGGGACGGGAGAGCATCTGGAAGGAGGAGGAGGAGGAGGTGGGGTGGGTGATGGGGATTGGGATTCAGCTTTTATTTTGGAAGAGCTCTGCTGGGGATGGAGCAGTTTGGAAAATGAGGGGATCAGGGAAGTGAGTGAAGGAAGGGATGGCTGCTGATGAGACCGTGATAGAGCAAGAGGGCTGCTGAATAGGGGGAGTCAGTTATTACTTTTGAGAGATTTGTTGTGGAGGCTGGATTGAGGTTGTTGGCCACGTGTCGATGGGTGAGCGGATGGGGGAGTGGTCGCTCGAAGGTCGTTGCAGCTGGCGTGACAGAATGTCATTATACACGGGTGGTTCGAGGGCGTGCAACGTCTGCAGTCGATAATTGTTGAATTGGTGAGTTTGTACTGTGTCACATACGTGCACGTAATGTGTCAACAATAAGATCGGGGAACAAGCTCTGAAACTCGCCCCTTGATGTAAGTGATTCGGATCTATGAGCTGAAATAAGGTGCGAAAGACTATACAGCAGCAGTCACTGAAGAAGAAGTATGATGCGGTAAATGTTTGTACTGACCTAGTACAAATTGGCTGGAGCAACACAACTGGCCTTTGCTTATGAGCGTCCAGCATTTACTTATGTGATCATATCCACCTTTGGTCGATTTTAAGCCAATCACGTACATGTGTCTCAATAGTGACCTAGCCAAATAATGACTACGTGAATGCCCATGGTGGGGACAGGCTAGATCGCACTTAGTACGGGTAAGCTACACCCAGCCGCTCTGTTTACAGACACGAAGGCAAGGATGATTAAAAAGCTCGGTATTCAACCTTACGCACAGTCACTAACAGCTTCACCCTTCGGGCCCGCAAGTATTTACTTGCATTCAGTATGACCCTAAGCCAGCAGCGGATCGAGTGATAACATATCGCTATGCATACTGCTGAAGAACGCGTGCTCTTAGTAACTACGACATTTATCAATAGTTTAATGCCGCTGCTGCGATGCCTAGCATTCGAAGGTCTCCTGTCAGTAATTGACTCTTTGAAGAGCGCTTGGCAGACGATGCCGCTATCATTCTGTCCTCAATGAGAGCGTGGAGCGCTGTGTATGTATGTTTGCACTTGAGTGTACGCGACCTCGTCAAGCTCGTCTTCAGGTCAGTTGCCACGTTATCAGATACTGAGACAACACCTTTTCTGTCAGCGAGATGCGGAGGAATGGTTTGCGTACACCATGTTGCACATATCAATAGCAATCTAGAACGGTCGCTGCTTATTCAAGCAGCTTGTTGGTATCTGTAACTTGGCAGGATTCTGAGTTCGTATAGTCACTGCACACGCCAATCTGAGGCTAGTCACGAAGCTCCTTTATGTGCTAAATTGCTAGTGAAAAACTGCACTCCTCGTGGCCAAAGTGTGCAGAGAACAGGTACAACAGAAATCACTTACCAGGCGTGCTATTACAGGAGATCTCTGATGACTGTGATGCCAACACTAGGAACTACGCTACTTTCACAAGTATAGATGACACTGGACTTCAGTAGCCCCCAGTCACTCGTCACTGCTGCGTTGTCCATGTGGTAAGCAAGTGTTGTGCGTTGTTTCATCAACCAGGATGCAAGTTGTTGTGAGCATGTACTGTACTGCCAGGCTTGTGGCAATTCACTGCCTGGACGTTTTTTCGAGATATTGGGCAATGTCGTCAAGAATAGCTCGATTATCGACTACCGTTTTCCGCACCGATCGCTTGGAGCCCATTGTGATGTAGACGACCAAATCCGCCAGTTTGTTGTGCTGTCTGCAATGATGCGTCCAGCTCTGGACGCCAAGACCGTCTGCGCAATGTCGAGCACTGTAGGAATTCCATCAAAGCCTAGGGCCGTTTTGGCAGCCTATGGTGCAATTGTTGTCGAATGATATCGCACTGATCAATCACGTGCAGAGGCGTACGGCCAGTCGCCGCACATCACATACCCATGACGAATGCCTGTTGCGGCATCAAAGGCCGTTGGGTGTTGTCTATTGACTGCAAAACGGTCGACCGTGCTCCTTGTGTGACGAGATCCACGAAGCGCACTTCTCAACTAAGTTGTCCTACTGCTACAACTGCGTATATTTGAATCCTTAACTCACAAAGTCTTCACCGCCATCGCTCGACAGAAACTGCGAGAGACGCTACCTGAACATGCATCAACCCAGCTTATCCAATGCCTTTGTTTCCGTAAGCGCCAAGCATGGCGGGGTCTCTGTGAAGCCTACCTCTTCCATCTTGATCTCCCCAATGCAATGATGTGCGACAAACCGAGGTACACACCAAGCCGGTTGCTGTGCTTGACATATTGACATAGCGTGGCAAGGTATCGCACCCCGTGTCATCGCATGCAGCCACTACTCTGAGCAGTTGCTTTATCTGCCAGGGGGATATCTACTATGAAACGAACTCGTCGGAGCGTGCGAAACCATGTGATTGATCAGAATGACGAAAGCGGCGCGACAAACACCATAATCCCGTCATGGATCAAATGCGCAATTGGCCTACAAAGTCATTTTGTGGTCGTTGCGTCGAGTACACAATATGCAAGTGAACGCGAAGACGAGCTATTTTATTGTGGTCGACTCGGCCTACGTCGATGTCAATATTTTTGCATTGTTATCGAGGAGCGCCTCCTCCTCAGGTAAATATCCTATCATAGCGTCTGACCAAAAACTGATCGTACAATCGGTAGCAAGTACATTTACAACGCAGCGTTTGAATCAATGTCTATCGTTCAAGTAAGATGATCGAGTCACTAACTTGAGTAGCGTCGGGCTTTGTGATACCGAGTGAGACACCGAAGTATTCGTACAATAATCGGTAGCTACCGAAGCAGGAGTGGAAGCTGTGCGCAGTGTGGTCATTGGAAGGCAATAGAACGAGTCTGAAGTCATCGTGATCGGAATGATAAGTCTTCGGACAAGAGCCCCGAGCACAAAAGATTAGCTGGCAGGAGAGGTCGATACTGAAGAGCCAGTAGCGTGATGCTTTGTCTGCGATGATTGGAAAAAGGCATTCATAGAAAAACAAGACTTGCGTAAGCTTGCGTCACCCCTGACCCACTCCTTTGGCGTTTGTCCGTAACAACACAGCGATTTTGACACGAAGGTGCGAGCTTGATCGAAGCTAATGGATTTAGGTTCGAGGCTACAACTAGCAGTATCTACCCCTGTTGATCTGCATCCGTTTCTGGAGTATATGATGCCAACATCAGTGTGTAGGCTCTTCTTCCACAGGGAAGTCACAATCTAGATTCGTCATGTCTCTTTCGAATCCTCCATGAATAACATCCGACAAGCAAGAAGCCGGAGTGACCAAGCTTTCTGATCGAACAAATGATTACTACTGGGTGCATTGCAGCCATAGCTGTTTTAATCGCAGTAACGGCTAGAAACAAGATACAGTTAAGCCTCTTCTACTAGCCAGGACAGGATAACAATTTGATTTTTCCCGATTCTGTACGCCATGGACAGCATGTCTATGCATCCAGTGCGACAAGACCAGAATCAGGTGGACGTTGTTCCAGCTGCAAGCACTTTACGTAAGCTTTATTTCGTGAAGACAGCGTGCCAACAATCACCAGCTATGACTTGCTTAGAGACATCCTCTCACTCCTCATCTTCAAACTCGCGTCGCAGCCGCCACTGCTCAATCCACAAACTCCTTCTCCTTGTCGTCACAGACTCGAACTACCGTCTGGTCGGATGAGTAAGTGCTTACTCGCGCTCGCACTCGTCCTGTCTGCTGACGGTGGCTTTCTTTCGGCCTTAGCAGCCGAGAAGCAAACCGAGACGACGAAGCCGAATACGGAACCAGCCAGTCAGTCTGAAGTGGACAGCAAACGAATGCTTCGAGGTGCTGTCAAAGAAAGTATGCCAACTCCGGCATTTGCGATGGATATGCTGGCGACAGCAGGCGTGGCCGGTTTGGCAGATGTCAACTTGGCCCTTATAGAGCGTACCGGCGGGCCCCTTTCAAGATTCGACGTTCCGCCAGCTGGTCATCTCGCGCCCGAACTAATTCCAGACTTGGCTCGTGGGACAATAGCGGCGGCAGTACAACGGCTCGAGACCGCTGACCTTCAAGTTCCATTGCGTGATATGTCGTTCGAGCAGTTCTTTCATGCAGTAGAGGCTGCTGCTGCTGCCGAGCATTAAGTACTAGTCGACGCTACACCTGACACCCTGACGAGAATGCATGCCAACACGTAAAGTGTCCTGATCGCCTGCCGTGTGTTGAGGGTCACATCACACCCACATCGTCTTTGTAACGTGACGACACGCGAATAGACATCATGTGGAGGATTCGAAGGTCGTCTCGAATTACGTCAGCATCAAGCAGTGTAAGCTTTGAATAATGTAATTTCTCTCCACACTGTTGTTAACACCGCTTATCGAGACGACACCACGGAAGAATGAACTGAATGCAAGCTGTATAACGGGGTGCCTCCATTATATGATAACTTACATGAGGTAAATATCAAGTACGAATATTATGTTAGGACAGACATAACATTCTCACAATACTATCCAAAGAGATGAGATTGCGTCGCAGATTTAATGCACTGCTCATTGGTTAATATAGGACCAAGATATCATCCAATGAAGTCTAGACACCAAAGAAAAACGCAATAAGTGGTGAGGAGATAGTTACAATACATGTTGCATTTAGACCTAGTTAAATGAAGCCAAATAGGGATTTATATCAGAAGGATTAACGATACTAAATACAGTTCTACTTTTTACCTTTATTGAGTACTCTTACTCCGTTCAGCAATCTTCCTCTGCACGTACGCGTACGCGAAGTAGTCGGACGCACACACCCTTGCACTGTCAGCAGCGCAAGGTTTATTCGATTAGCTGAATAAGGTGTGCCCCGTAACGATGGCACTGTCGTCGAAGAACTCCTATAAAAGCGACGATGAAGCTTCATAGAATCTAACGATAGCAGCGCTGATAATAGCGACTTGGAAAAAAACCCTGCTGGGTCTACACATGTCGACGCGTTTAGTGTAATCAGGACAATTGAGTACGCACTGAAACTAAACTAGCAATTTTTTCAAACCGCTTCACCGCAGTGTGTTATCAAAAAGTCTATAATGCCATGACGCGTCGTTCGCGTGTAATACCGATCTCGGAAAACGCTGGCACAATGTCCACTCACATACTAAATCGAGTGCGGAATGGAGTGTATCCGACATAATGACAATTGTGCACTTGATCTCCCCACCGAGGTTTTTGGTACGGTATAATGGTGTCCATTCACTAATAATTACGCAAGCTAAACATCGAGGAATGTGTGATAATAGCACATGTTCTTCTTAACACGTATTCTTCTAGCAGGTAATTTTTGTTGCAATTGGTAAATATTATGCTTGTCGGTTGATATGGGCCTCGGTGTTAACCAACCACGCTGGTCAACGATATTTACGCGCGCGATGAGTGGTTGGTAGATAGTTACAATACATGTTCACATTCAAAAATAGTTTAATGAGGATGAAACAGGATTTAGTGACAGAGAGTTAGCTTTACTAAATACAGTACTACTTTCCCTTTTTATTTCTATTCTGTAGACTAAGCTTTCTCTGCACGAATGTAACGGGGTCACACGACAGTGTCTAATGTGATATAAAACTTTCAACGTTCATCTGTGATAGTTGATGTGGTTTGTCATCTCAACCATCCATTGATGACGGATTGTCCGTCAATTGCTTAAGGCACTAATTGTAATGGGGTGAATCGTTACATAACAATTTATAAGAAATTGTTAATAGAATATAACTATAAGAGTTATATTCTCAGAATATTGTCATAAGGACAAATATTCTGCAGCACTTACGAGTAGTTCCTAATTGGTTGATATAGGCCATTATATCAACCAACGAAGACGCGCCACGACAGACGCACGCAATGAGTGGTGAGCAGATAGTTGATATGCACATTTGTATTTAGACATAGTTAGATGAAGATAAATAGTGATTTATTAACAGACATTAACTATACTAAATACAGTTCTACTTTTTACTTTAACCAAGTACTCGCTTCTTCTTACCGTCTTCCTCTGCACGTACGAGTGTACGTGAAGTTCCGAGGCACCGCCTTATTCTGTTATCAGAATAAGTAGCTTGTACTGTCATCAGGACAAGCTTCAGGGTGCCCCGTTACACCTGGTAGCACTTCGTAGTCCGTCCAAGGACCGCGTTCACATCCAACATGAATATGTTGGACGATGAAGATGACCAAAGCTTTCACGCTACGCGTGACGGCTACTCCCATTTGAGCGATGTCGAATGGGATGCGGTTGAACGAATGGGTTCGACCATGGGCATCCATGCTGTTAGCGTCATGCTAGAGGCTCTCAATAGAGATGCCCAACATGCTACTATCGCCAAGTTCATTCAAAATGAACTTGACGCCGAACGCGAGAAAGTAGCCTTGCTTCACCAACAAGGTTCTCAACAAGCAGAGTTGTTGAGAGAACAGGGTGCTCAACAGTTTGAACTGTTGAGACAGCAGCAGGCTGCTGCTGGTGGGTCGATGCACTCGCGTCGACCCGAGACTTTGAAGATTGACATCTCTAAGTATAGGGGGGTCGAAGAGGACTCCCTCTTGAGATGGTTCGTCGAATTGGATGACGCCATAAGGGCGCGTCGCATCGACGACGGGGATATGCAAGTTGAATTTGCCCAGTCAAATCTGGCAGGACGTGCCAAGACTTAGGCACTGGGGCTCAAGTTGCACGACCCATATGCGTTTGGGTCGTTGGAAGTCTTCAAGTCGCGGCTCAGACAAACGTTTGAACCGCCTAGAGCTGAGTTCAGAGCTCGAACCGAACTCTTGAAGCTCAAGCAGGGTAAGCGTGATGTGCACGCTTACGCTCAACATATACGACATCTCACGAGTTGTATAAGTTCCAATCCGGTGGATGAACACACGTTGGTTTCGGTGTTCATGCAGGGTCTTGCGGATGGTCCCGTCAAGACTCACCTGTTCCGGCTTGAACTAGATTCACTAGAACAAGCCATTTCCATTGTGGAACAGGAAGACTTCAGTCTGAGACAGGCTCGCGCCAGCTCGACATCATATCGTCAACCGAGACGATATGACAACGGAGGTCCAGAGCCGATGGAACTCTGTTATGTAGAGAGCGAGAAGGCTCGCTCTACAGACTACAAGAAGTTGCAGAGATGCAACAGATGTCAGAAGACAGGACACTACGCTTACGAGTGTAGTGCCCCTCGTCCAGTGTCTCGCAACACTGGGCGTAGTGACCGTCCACCCATGAGAAAGGGGCAGGGACGCGGGTCCGCTGTTGGTGCAAAGACGCAACAACGGGATGGACCGTCAAAAAACGGACAGGATCAGTAGGTGCGGAGCACCCTACTGGTCCAGCAACGTCAAGAGAATTTGTAGGCCTCTTGATGAAGGTTGCTCCCAACACACAAACGTTATGCGTTGCTGCTCCAGGTAATGAGATCTCACTCATTACCTTGAAACTCGAAGTGACGAATAAGTTGTCCCTTCGAGCTCTAGTCGATTGTGGGGCGTCCAACAATTTTGTGCGACGCCAATCGCTAGAAGATGGTCACTTTAAATTCAGTGAATGTGACACACCTCCTACGAGGATGACGGTACGTCTTGCGACAGGCGCATCCGTAACCTTCATGAAGCGTATAGTGAAGATCCACTATACGCTAGAAGATACCCAATATGACGATGACTTTATCGTATTGGATTTGGATGACAAATTTGATGTCATCCTTGGAATACCGTGGCTCAGAAGGTACAAACCACGGGTAAACTGGCAGCATCGAACAGTAACGATGCCTGCCGCTTGTTCATCAGATGGCCATCTGATGAACGTTTTGGAGCGTCCACAAGCGTGTGGATGTACTACGAGTGAGTGCGATGGCCTCACTTGTGGTACGGTCGATAGTACGACTGCACAAAACCTTAGTGTAACAAACAGTTACACTTCGGAGCAAAGTTCCGGCGGCTGTGAGGAAACACAGGCTGCGCCGAAGGTCCACCACTAGAATAAGTCGGGTGGACCGGGACAAAGATGTATCCCTAGCGGGGAACATCCAGAAGAGAAACAATCGATCGCTCAGGTGAAGTGAAACGATACTTCTAGATCGACTGACGAGTTTTCGTAGAGGATCTCGCTGTGGTTGCGCAACCACAGCTAGATGAAGTAAAGGGAATAAGTCCCGATATTACAAATACGGTGGAAATAAGTTCCCCGAAACCCGCGGGAATAAGTCCCCGGGAAGACGAAGGAATAAGTCCTTCGAGGCATGAGGGAATAAGTCCCCAGGAAATGACAGAGACATTGAATGTCATAGTCAATAACGGATGAAGTGTAGGCGCTTATACACTTGATCTGATTGCGCCTCCGAAGTTGACTTCGGAGATCACTCAGTTGCCAACGCTCGAACATAAAAGGTTCTTGCGTGATCTGCGTAGTGGCAAAGTCAAGCAGATCTGCATACTCGTCGCTGACGAAGAGTGTGTAGCCGACATAAGGTCAGCAACAGTGTTCACTGAGAACGAGAGAGTTCTCAGTAGTTCATCTATGGACGAGAGTGTCCTAGATGAAAAGACACGAGTTGAGCGATATGACTCCCGATCGTGGGAATCGCTCAAGAAAAATCCTCTCTATGAAGATTTGGTTGAATTCAAGGATGTATTTTCTGAAACTGTTCCGTGAGAATTACCGAAGGATAAAGGTATTCGACACGAGGTCGAGCTTAAACCAGGTTCGAAGTACTGTGTCATGAAGCAGTGGCCACTGCCTCGTGAACAAGTACTTGCGATCGACAAGTTCTTTGCCGATCGTTTAGCAGCGGGCCATGTGAGGGAATCAACTTCCCCACATAGCTCTCCGACCTTCTGTGTGCGAAAAGCAACAGGAGGGTGGCGGATAGTGCACGCGTTCAACAAATTGAACGCTGCAACGGTACCGGCTCAGACGCCGATACCAAGGAAGGACGTAATCATTGATGGTATGTCAAAGAGTACCATCTTTTCGTCCATGGATTTGATGGATGGCTTCTATCAAATCCCTATGCGAGAACTGGATATACCCTATACCGCAGTGAGCACGCCTAGCGGCATGCTCTGGGAATGGCTAGTAATGCCACAAGGGCTCAGTAATGCCCCTGCCACGTTCAACAGATGTGTATCACATCTGTTGAGACCAGTACGAGAATTCGCGCCGAGTTATTTCGATGACGTATTCATCCATAGTCGAGCTATGGATGGAAAGTCGGACGTTGAGGTTCACATATACCACGTCCGACAGGTTCTTACAATCATGCGAAAGCATCAATTGTATGCTAACCTCAAGAAGTGTATATTTGCAGCAAGCAAAATACCACTTCTTGGGTGCATCGTTGGTAAGAACGGTGTACGTCCTGATCCCGAAAAGATCAAGGCGATCACCGACTGGCCTGTGCCGGTTGATGTCAAAGGTCTTCGAAAATTCCTTGGGCTAGCGGCGTATTTGCATAAGCATTCACGCAATTACGCCGAGATGACTGTATACCTCTCTCGTTTGTTGAAAAAGAACGAGAGGTGGTTATGGAACGCTGATTGTCAACGCTCCTTTGATGGTATCAAGCAGAGCTTGATAAATCCCCAGTCCTAGCAATTGCCGATCAGGACAGGCCATTTCATGTGGTCTGTGATGCCAGCGATTTCGCGATCGCCTGTGCATTAATGCAGTATGATCCTAAAGGCGTTGAACGCGTCGTCTGATATCAGTCGCGTCAGCTGCAACCAGCTGAGCGGAACTATCCAGTGCATGACAAGAAACTCCTTGCCATGAAGTATGCACTCGCGAAGTTCAGAGTCTATCTCTTAGGAGATAGACCCTTCATTGTTTACACTGACCATGCGTCATTACGCACGGCAGTGAACAGCCCGCAACTTTCACAACGAATGGCGCGGTGGTTGTCATTCTTTGTCGAATACAACTTTACGGTCGAGTACAAACCAGGAAGACTTAATGTCGTCGCTGATGCACTCTCACGTCGTCCCGACTTTGAAGCAGTCGTGAAACCCAACAGAGAGACAGTCACTGTTGCGGTTATGACGTCCTCAGTCCCATCTACAACGTTGTATGATGATGTGAGGCGGGCATACGCCCAAGATGGTGAGATTGTGAAGTTGTTGACACATCTCTCCCAACCATCTCGAGAATCGTTGAAACTATTAATGTCTGCGTATCGATCTGCATCAGATCGATACACTACTCGTAACGGTTTACTGTATTATACAGCCGTTTCTGGTGACACACCACGTGTTGTCATTCCAGATGATACTGATCTGCGTTTGCGGATCATGTTCGAGTATCATGATGCTCCTATAGGAGGACATCGTGGCCGAGAGAAAAACATATCTCACGGTAAGTCGAGACTTTTACTGGCCCCGCCAGTATCAGTTTGTGCGAAAGTATGTTCGCGCATGCGAAGTCTGCCAACGAGTGAAGTCAAGTCCTTCACTGCGTGCACCTTTACAGCCTCTACCGGTTCCGGCTAAGTGCTGGGAATCCATCTCAATGGATTTCGTCTTCGGGTTACCCAAAGACGCACGCGGGAATACGGGTATTCTCGTATTTGTTGACAGATTCAGCAAAATGGTACACCTTGTGGCTGTACCAGAGACAATCACGGCAAGTGGCTGTGCTTGTGTCTTTATTGACACCATCTTCCGACTTCATGGGTTGCCCCGTGAACTCGTGTCAGACAGAGATCCACGATTCACTGCTGATTTCTGGCGTTCCGTGTTCAAATCACTCGGAACGCGCTTGAAGATGTCGACATCTGATCATCCAGAGTCAGATGGTCAGACGGAACGTGCCAATCGTGTCCTTGAAGAGATGCTTCGAGGATACGTACACTCCTTTACGAGTTGGAGTGAGTTTTTATCAATGGTAGAGTTTGCCATTAACTACTCGGTGCATGCGTCCACGACACATACACCGTTTTACGTGAATGGCTTGCGCCATCCGCGTGTACCCACCTTACTAGAAAGTAACTCTGGTTTAAGGGGGAGAGGGTCTCGCGCTATCAAAAACCGATTTGGTTCACGCTCATCACGCTCTGACGAAGAGGTCATAGCGTTTGATGCCGATATCGATAACATCGATATTGAAGAAGATGATGCCAGTGAGAGTGCGAAAGCCCTCACTGAAGAAAAGGTTGATGTTTCTGCAGTGCTCTCACAGCGCACTGAAGCTAACGAGTCATCAGATGAGTTCATACTGGCTCGTGAAACGGTAGTCCGTTCTGTGCGAGACTCCATCGCCGAAGCGGTAAATAAGCAAAAGCAAAACGCTGACAAGAATGGAAGGGCAAACACTCTTTTATTTAATAAAGGTAACTTAGTCCTACTGTCTACGGTTAATCTACCAAAGCATGTAGTGACTAACTTGGGTATCAGTAAACTACTACCCAAGTACATTGGCCCATTTCGTGTATTGCACCGCCTAGGCAATGCATACACGATCGAGTTGCCACGTAAGATGCGAACGCATCCCACGTTTTACGTTGGTCGGCTTAAGCCGTACCATTAGTACGCTGCTTCTTCCGATGAAGAACGCCCTTGCGCTCAAGCATCTCGCAGAGAGCCTTGTGCTCCCGATGATGGGCATCAACAAGGGTCTGAAGAGCAGTTATCTCATCCCGAGACCGGTCGATATCCACACGAGCTACCCTTAGCTCGTCACGAAGAGATGTCAGAGATCTCTCGTTCTCAAGCTGAGCAAAGGCAAACTCAGCTCGATGCTTCGAGGCAGTGTCCGCCATTTGGAGACGCCTATTTCGCTCATGTTCGAGATCGTCGCGTAACCCTTGTGTTACGCGATCAAAGAAGCTCTCGGGAACACACCGATCCACATGATCGTGTGGAGAGCGTCTTTCCTCCTCCTCCTCCACCTCCATTAGAGGACTCTCGCGGTGGCCAGCGCTATCTAGTTGAGCATCTGTTGAACCACCGCGACGTGAACGGACGTCGGACGAGTTATCTCGTCCGGTGGCGCGGCTATCCCCCGTCCTGGGATTCTTGAGAGCCCCGCTCCCAACTGATGGTTGACGTACTGGGTCTGGTTGAGCAGTACGACGCGGCACATCCTGTGCCGCAGGAGGACCGCCGGATAAAGTCTTCCCGGCAAGGTCGTAAAGGAATTTCAGGTTGTCAATCCCTTCGTACATCTCACTAGAGATACGTACGCGCCACCACGGGCTAGTAAGGAGGCAAGCCTCCTTAGGTGCTCGTGCAGAGTTGTTCACACAACATGGGCACGAGTCTCCCCATGAGAGGCAGGGTAATCCTTTCTCCCTTGACAGACGATGCAGCTTGTAGCGTGCACCTGTCGGGGTTCGCTTTTCAAACTTATCACGAGCTTTGATAAGTTTGTCGTTCCAAACGTCACGACCTACATCCTCAAGGTTATGGATGTAGGCGTTCCACGCTTGAAGTAGTGAGGGACCATCACGCTTGTGATTCCCACTGTACCATCAATGTCTAAAGAAAGCATCGATGAAGAATTCGTTTTCAGCGCGATAGTTTTTCGCGCTGGGGTCAAGGTGATGGATCCTTGACGAATCGAACAATCGTGTTCGATAACGATCACTCGTCGTCGCCGACAAGTGATCCATGACGGATTTTGGAGGCATCCATGCCTTCTTCTCGGGAGCGAGACGCAAGACATTGCGGTCCCGCTCTTCCTGCGATGTGCCGACAGAAGTACTGGCACCTCGTTGCGAAGTGGTGTCCATAGGAGAACCGACACCACTAATAGCGCCCGAGTATCGCGACTTCGAGCGCCTTCGCTTCGGCGATGGTTCATCTGATTCATCAGATGAACCAAAGATGCTACGACTCCTAGCATCATCCATGCCACGCTTGGCAGGCGGCTTGGATTCGATCGCCGTCGATCGGATCCGTCTTCCGTATCAGGAGAGTATGAGACACCAAGCTCATACTCTGTGAAGACATGAGTGTCTTCTTGACCAGCGCCTGCATCACCAATTGACACAGGCTGAGTCGCTTCAGCAACCGATGAGACATCAGTTACTGTGGTTTCTGCTTCGGCGTCCGCACAGAGACGTGCGGACGCGCTCTCGGCGGCCTTGCTTGCGCATCGCATGGGCTTGTTAAACATGCGATGAGATGTTGGAAAGTGGACTCGGACCAACAAGTGCAAACCCTGTCCCAAATGATTTGGGACGAGTATCCATTTAGTCAAACAGTCACTAAAGTGACTGATGTTTAAGGGGGGGGTGATGTAACGGGGTGAATCGTTACATAACAATTTATAAGAAATTGCTAATAGAATATAACTATAAGAGTTATATTCTCAGAATATTGTCATAAGGACAAATATTCTGCAGCACTTACGAGTAGTTCCTAATTGGTTGATATAGGCCATTATATCAACCAACGAAGACGCGCCACGACAGACGCACGCAATGAGTGGTGAGCAGATAATTGATTTACACATTTGTATTTAGACATAGTTAGATGAAGATAAATAGTGATTTATTGCAGACATTAACTATTATCAATACAGTTCTACTTTTTACTTTAACCAAGTACTCGCTTCTTCTTACCGTCTTCCTCTGCACGTACGAGTGTACGTGAAGTTCCGAGGCACCGCCTTATTCTGTTATCAGAATAAGTAGCTTGTACTGTCACCAGTACAAGCTTCAGGGTGCCCCGTTACACTAATAATTGCTATGATGGCAAGCCCAAAGGGTGAAGCTATCAGTGATTGTGCGCAAGGTTACATGTCGAGCTATTATATGGAACTTATCGGTGTGTGTCTGTGTGTGTCTATAAGTAACGCGATTAGGTGTACCATAAATGTACTAAGAGTGGGATAGCCTGTCCTCCCTCAATAGAATACAGACAAGTTCAAGTAACTATGGTAGTGCTTGTGATTGGCTTAAAATCGATCGAAGGTGAGTATGATCACAAAAGCAGATGTCGGACGCTAATAAGCAAATGCTGATCACGTTGCCCTATCATATGCTTTAATGGGTTACTATAGACATTAACATCATCATACTCATTCTATACTGACTAACGTTGTACAGTGTTTTGCAAGATGACTCAGTCCGATGAATGGGTAACTTATATCGAGGGTAGAGCTCCCGATCTTGATCCCCTTTCTTAATCAGTTTTCTCTTGTGAAGGTTAGTTGCACATAAATTTTATTACCGATACAACTTAGAAAAAAAGTGACGAATCCCCTTTTGGTCAAGTGCTTCCACGCGTCTTGTTGAGTCGTCAGCAGATCGCTAGGATAAACAGTCTTCTTCTGGCGTGTATTCTAAGGCAGCTTGTGCACGATTTTTAATAATCGTTGAGGGACCTGAACTAAGACTACAAGCTCTACTAGCGTGAAGAATATCTAAGTCTTAGTTTATTATTTTAGAAGCCAAATAATCTCTAAACTTGTAGGAACTTAGCGCTGTAAATAAGTGACTTTTTAAATTTTCCTCCTCTGACTAAAAGCGTGTAGATCTACGACAACATACGTGTACGTCTTTTATTTATATTCAAGCTAGGCAAATATAATGCATAAAAAAGTTCGTAGGCAAAGCCTAGGTACGCAAATTGAGGTCGACGAAGACCAAGGTCGGTGAAAATCAAATTGGCATACAGAGGTCGGCGTAGTCTAAGTCACCAAGCTAATGTTTATTGACGCTTGTAGCTAGCTGAGTGTGATAGAAGATACGAAATCTGTTTCATTGGGTACATGTATCGGAGATATGGCAGATAGAAGGAAATTTGCACAAAGTGTCTCCACGGTATAGCAAATAGATATACCACTACAGCCCGAAATGTTTTAATTCTAAGCCACATTTACAATTTCCGTTAAGCCCCTGCGTATGATACATAATTTCTGCCGTCGAGCTTCAAGGGGCATACTTTGTAGAGCTCTTGACCGATCGATCCAAAAGGCTAGGAATCACCGGGTTGGGTAACACTAGCTACCAGCGAGATATTATTCCTCGTCGACGACGAGCCGGTGAGCCGCAGCGGAAGGCAACGTTTCCTAAGACTTATCTAAGTAGCGATCAGGTGGCATCAGCATAGGGTGACGTACTTCCTTTATAGTCGGGCGTATACTGCTCCCGGTGACAGATTAAACTACGAAAATCGTCAGCGTCCACCCGTTGGTGTAATGTCACAAAAATGTATGAGTTGGACACTACTGATATCAGTTAGTCAGTTTTCTGAAGGAATTGGTTGCAAACAATCGGTTGGGTGAAAGCCACATCTGGGTATGAAGGGGTGAACCGTGAATGATCTCTCCTAACCTACTATCCCATGTATCCGGCCTAACTCGACAATTGTTGTGTTTGTGCATTGAAGCTGCATTCATACAGATTTGGCTGACTGCTATACCAAACTGCGACTACGTTAGTAACTATAGGTTGTAGTCGACTTATAACTGTATTGAAACGGTCTGAGAAGGAGGCCGAAATAATACCGCTCACAATCAATTGGAATCAGATTGGTTCTACACGAACCTGAAGAGCCGTTCAGGAAAAGCTTACGACCAGAGCAGTTGACGAGAACAATTTATATACTTTTATCGACACAACTGTCAGTATAATTCTAGGAGCATACGAGTGCAGGGTCCCCTGTGGGGAGTACCGAGGAACAGTAAATGTTTCACTTTTGTAGAATTTGTTGCAAATTCTGCAAATAGGTTCACAGTGCGAGCCGATGAGAGTACGCACAATTTGAGAAGCTCCCGAAGTTAGTCTAATAAGTTCAGTTTTTTTGTAGTGAATCCCACGATGTAGAATCCTCTTTATTTGGGTCCACCTAAGAAAGTCCAAGCTCGTTCAGACCAACTTATTTTAATTAACCTCGGGATGTCGGGACTCGGAGATATGGTACCGAGATGCGGTACTTCGCGGTATTAGTCTTAGCAATGTGAGTCTATTTTGCTTAAAAGGTTTTGATCTTGATCATATAGCTGCAACTAAATACCTCTTGTTCATTTGCATCGAGCCAACGGTATGACAAGACAACGTTATTGGTAGCACTGTAAGAAGAAAATGAAACTATGTTCGTTTGATGTGATATCCCATGGTGAATCACCAAGTTGGTAGGGTGCACACATTCATGACCTGCAATTTTTTACAAACTTTTGTGTGAAGAATACGCAATGAAGAGTCTACGCCAACTTTGGGAATTTTTGTGCTGAACGATCTTTTGTCTCAACATGAATGAAGTCATCAATTACCTGGTAAATGCGATGATCAGATGCGTTCGGCGGCTGTGCAATCGACGTTGTGTTAGAACCAGTCATCAATATTCGACTGTTTTGTAAGTCTGTCACAAACAGATACCGCCACAGATGTCATCCAGTTGGCTGTGCACGAACCCGTTAGCGTCATTCCTGAAAATTGATTAAAATTACTGCTGTTGTTGTTACAATATGGGTATATCAATTTTGTGGTGCAATCGCTATACCCCAATCAATTTACGATGTTTGAGGTATAATTCAGAACATGAGTACGAATCAGCCGAATCAAAGACACGTGGCCGTAGACAGCAAGTATCGATACCGTAACAACTTTGCAAAAATACAAGAAGCCCCTGTTCCTAAAAACATCGCAAAAGAATATTTATCACTTGTGCCCACAAAGAGATTTAGATGTGCTATAGCGTAGCTTCGGAGTTAAGTGCACATGTACGGCTTCACTTCTATCAATGTGCAATTCGGTAGTAATCTGGTACGCTGGAAACCCGCTATATCCAGTATCGCAGTGATCAAAATCACCACATATACATCGAAGTGATAAGCTTAGGCTAGTGTGGTTCCACGAAAGACGCCTCCGCGCAGCGCGAGGTGCTTTCGTGAAAGAATTCGGTCTTTTTCTGTGTAAGTGGGTCCACTTAAATCTGCGTGCTCGTAAGTAGAAGTCTCGATCCAGTGATCGACGTCTTTGTCAAGATGTGCAGCCAGCTCCTGAACGACTCTTCGGCCTGACTGGATTCGGAATTGGACGGAACTGCACGTATCTATGGCTATGTTCGCCGCACAGTCAGCCATTTTGTTGTAGTCGCGGTAGTGATGACCCCAGCTGACCACAGATACTTCGTCGGCCAGATCTCTCGCCACGTCGTATAAGTGCGCCAATCGGGGTTTACGCGGTGAGCGATCGGTCCTGAGTCGCGAGATCACCAAAGCACTGTCCCCTACGACATGAAGAGGCGACAATGCATTTTTTTGCGCGGCGTAGACCGTGCACTAGACTCTGATATTCGGCAAGGTTGTTAGCAGTAGTTGGATTGCCATATGTCATGCTGGCCACCCACACAATTCCGGCTGTGTGGGTAGGTGCGTAAATCTTGACAATGACATAGCCAGACCCGCCCGGCCCAGAATTTTCTCGAGAGGACCCATCGAAGAAAAGAAAGTATAGCACATCTGACTGGTATGCCAGCCGTATTGATCGCAGTGGAGATGGTTCATTGTGTAGTAGAAGCGTGTCGGCCAGTGCCCGATCGCACCTGCGCTAGTATCTGGCCATCATCTCCTCCTTCCGGTTGGTATACAGAGCTTCAAAATCGTGACAGTGCACGACGCAGGTGTGACGTAGCCCTAGAAATGTGTGCTTCTTCTGGCAGGATGGGATCTCGCATCCGATTTAGGCGCTCAATCCATATAGCATGTAGCGACGAAGAAACGACGAATCGCCACAGTTCATTCGCTGCGTGAATGACTGCTGACTTTGCTTTCTACCGATCAACGCTTATCTCGAGGGATAGCTGAACTTCCGTTCATACTGCTGCCGGCTGCCCTGGGAGCTTTCAGCGAACACCCAGACGTGCATGTCGGCCTCGTCAAAAGCTCCTAGACATCGCTACAGCGACCGCAGATGGGCCCAATGGCGTTTTGCGCTGGTGCAGCTCCGGAAGACATGATTTGTTGTTGCGAGAGTCTTCTTGTCGCATTCGGTGTTGGAGCATGAGATATCGTTCGCTGCTTAGTTCCATAACAAAAAAGCTGTTACTGTTGAGTCGATACAGCGTTTGTACTTCTGTCGGAAATGTTGCTCGGATCCGGCGGATATCACGCCATGCAACCATACCGGTGCCAGCTGAAATTACCTGAAAGCAGCGCTTCAGTATTCTTGAGTCGCGCTGTTGTTCTCCAATTCGCAAGCGGCAGTTAGCTAAAAGCTTCTTTATCTTCTTTCTCTGTGGTTTCCACCGTCTAGAACCGGCCCAGAATTGCACCACCCGTGAAAGCGTCGGATGAGCCCCAAAAATGTACTGGGGTCTTGCTGTCCCGACTTGCTGCTCTATCACACCTCAGCATAGAGTCGACTACCGTTGTGTCGCCTCACATACCTGTGTCAAAATATGAAAGGGAAGCACCCTTCTCGTCCAGTAGCCATTCGTGATGCTGATGGACCTTGGCCGAGTACGAGACCATGGCCCCGTGCGGAAGCGCTCGATGCATAATTGCGGGAAAGCTGTAAGCGAGTGCGAGACATAACGACCCAAAGTTTCGCCGCTTCGCTATCGACTGTGCTGACATGTCGGCCGGAAAGCGTCTTAGGCTGTTGTGCCCGGCCACTATGGAGCGCGAAGACATTACTGCTCCTTCGCTATTAGCCACGTCAAGCGGTAGACACCAATTGCAATACCAAGTCCGGATTTTGGTCAATGGAGTGGCGGCAAGCACGGTTCAAGCTATATTGGCGTCTAGTGTGGCTTGTACGGTCACATCCGTGTCTCGTGGGTGCCCACTCGGCTCGGAGGCATATGATTCCAACTTTTTCGTGGCAACTTTTGACATGGTGTCATGTCCCGAGCAACTCAAGCTGGTAACGCACATCGCAACATCCGAAACGGAGATCTTTTTCCACCATTTTCGTCACTTTCAACGCGTTCCCTGTTTTTCCTGCTATTCGCCATATCACTCGAGTGCTAAGTGTGGTGGACGCAAAGGCGCTTTTCAAATTCAGCATCACCGAGAATTTACTGGTATTCCAATAGCTCCTCCTCACGTCAGTGGGTTGACTTTTAACCACTTGGACGTTGCCGGTCGCCTGCAGCATGTCTCTGGACTGGCGGATACTTTGGTGGCAACCACGGCGAAATTAAAGGCTGATGGCGACAAGGCCCCACTGTTAAGTGAGGTCTCGCAGGTACCTCCTTGTGCTGGGCAGTCGTCAGTTCCGAACACGTCTCCGCTTGCCGGTGGACAGGCCGTTCGGGGCGGGGCTACTCGCGTCAGTGGTCCAATGACGAACGAGTGGTTCGATCCTGGAGCGAACAAGAAAAAGAGGGATGTGCGCCCCGCAGATGTTTCGGCTAGTCGGGCAACAGGACCTGCTGTGAAGCTACCCAAGCATCTGCAGTTCAACAAAGATGGAGGTGCAAGAAAGTCACCACTCCCGAAGTCGAAGGCTGTTGCCCAAACTATTTCCACGAACACGGTCGCTGACAAAAAGAAACCACCTCAACAGACTAATGCAACTGTTCGTCAAAAAGGGCAATCGACCACGGTCCATTCTTCGCCACCACCCTCCGCTTCTTCGAAGGCGGACACCCAGCGCACGCTGGCGATTCGGGAACTGGACCACATATTGAGTGGTGCTCATGAGGAAGTTGCAGAACCTGCACCGATTGATCCGGGGGTCGATTCGGCGCTGCCTTCGACGAATTTAAAAGAGGCGACCCTTGAGGCCGTTCGATCGCAAGTAGCAACCGCACAAAAAACGGTCGAGGAACTTAATTTAGCAGCCGAAGAGAAGCAGCGCGCGGCAGACACCACGAAATCATGCTACTTTGCGGCTCACGCTCAGGCACTCGAAGTGGCTATTGCTACTGAGAAAACGAGTAATAGAGAACCTACTTCTCCTGAAGAAGTCAGTGAGGAATTGCTGAGGATGGAGTACGAATACCGCACCGCAGGTGCGACGGCGAACCGAGCGAATGCGGATGCAACGATAGCAGCGAAAACCCTCGAAACACTGACACGTAGGTTGGCGAAGATTACACCGAAACCGGAGCCTGTGACCGAAGATACGGCCCCGCAAGATGATACACCACCTCGCGAGATGCCTACGGAGATGGCAGCAAGAAGTAGAGAGCGGAGTCGGTCCATGATACAACGCTTGTTGGCTTCGTATGTGCGCCGCAAACGGGGTGTACCAAGTGAGCCGATCGATAAACCTCTTGGTACGGTACCTACCGCGAAGGCGCCTCGTGATCCGGGTCCACCGGATCTACCGCCGATGTGCCCCCCAGAATCGGACGGGCAGCGTCCCCAAGATCTCGATGTTACTATGGCGGAGAGCACGGTTACGTTCGGGAACACTATGTGCTTGAATGATTTAAATGGAGGGGCAGTTACTCCGCCTCCGTGCCGCTAGTGTACCTATTCCAGCGGATCTAGCCAAGGCAATTGAGAAAGAGCTTAAGGCCTCGTCTGGAGTTATCGACGTTTCCGACACGGGTGCCTCTAGTTTATTAACACGTCCTACCGCTAGCATGGGTGGTCTCTGTACGCAGGTAGCGGTCCGGTCCCCGATGGAACAATGTCGCGCTCCCGATCCTCACGATCAGACTTTACGCGCAACAAGGATTCGCAAAATTCCAGATAGCGCATCTGCTGCGGTGGCGGCTGCTGCAGTGCCGGAGAGCATGAAACAAATTTCATTGAACACAGCGGCGATTCGCAAATGGGTTAGCCTGCACAAAGCGATGGCTGCACTACCGACTACAATGCCAGTTGGACCTAAGGGACAAATGGCCTGGATAAACGCGTGCTCCTTGGACTTGGCGGGACTCGTCTGTGGACTACCTTATCCTGTTGCTTACCTTGCCTCGATGTCGGGTGAAACCCTACGGTCTTTTGGACATTCCATCAACAGTGAATCTCAACTGGCTGTAATTCGGCGACACACCACACACGCAGATGAAGAACTTCGCGAGCTGTGCAAGGGTTGGGCCGCCACGGCAGACGCGCAAACCGGTCATATTCGATGGAGAACGACGGACAATATACAACGCTGGAGACGCTTTAGTAAGCTTCAGCCCGATTTGCTGTGCGCGACTGTCGTCGAACCGCTTTCTGACTTGGATCAGTGGGGAGTCCTCAATGTTCTGTGTTTATTGCTCCCGAAGCTCGCACCTATTGAGGTTAAGACGAACGTGGTAATGCCGCAAACCAAGGCTGTACTATATCACCTCTCCAAAGAGGTGCGCGCGGCGGTGATTAGCATTATATGCAAACCTGCCAACTGGCAGCCGGCCCTTGACCTTATCGCTAAAGATGGTCAACTGCTGGACTCTAGGTGCTGAGGGCGTCTCGGCTGAGCTAGAGGATGCATCGTCGCGGCACATGCCACAACGTCGTCAAAGACGCCTTTTTAAGACCTCATGTATTCCACGCGACAACAGCATAGGTATCCATTCGCAGAATGTCGCAGGATTTCCCAAGAATCCGGAACATTGCGCAACTTGGTTCAGCCACTTCCGACAGAGCGAAGCCAGGGGAATCATCGATTTGGTCCTTTTACAGGAAAACGCGGGTCACTTTAGGTGAGGCAGCTCCTCTGGACAAGCTTTACAACTCCTCCTGGGGATTCGTGCACAAACTCGGACGCTCGTTGTGGACCGAGTCCGAGTTCTCTCGTGGAGGTGTGGCTATTTTATTAAACCCATACTCAACAATTACGGAAATGGTTCCGTGGTATGAGGATCAATGGACACAGCATTGGATGGATGTCCGGGTCTGTCTAATGGGCGAAACAGTTCTTGTTGTAAACGTTTACGCCCCAAGTACCAAGACTGAAAGAGAGGCGCTGTTCTCGAGCCTTCTACTTATTCTTCAGGGATACGAAGGACCCATGTTTGTTGGAGGGGACTTCAACTGTACTTTGGAGCCGCGACTTGACCGTTATTTTGTCTCGCCGCCAGGAAGACATGATTCCTTCGCGCTTCGGCGGCTTCTCGGCCGAGTGCAGCTTAGCGATGTTCTTGATGGTGATCTGGAGATGGCCGAATAAGAAAGAGATGTACCGGCGTTTCATGCGGCCTCTCACACTTATTTATACACTCTTCCGGATGGTGGATTGGCTAGTTCCCGACTGGATCGGTGGTATGTGAGCTCTCGCCATGCTGATTGGATTCGTGGCGTTGCTTTGTCAGTTCCTGGTCCAGCAGCTGACCACAATGGCATCAGTATCAGGATTGGTGTGCCGCGTTATGTGGTCCGTGTACGTAAGCCGAGGCACGTGTACCCTGTTCCAGGTTGTGCAAACACAGCCGCGCATAAAGCAATTGTTGCGGCCATTAATCTGGCACAGCTTAAAGCGGACGAGACTCTTTCTGTTCCGCCTTCGGACTATATCACGGCCCGTAGATTGGCCGACTTGTGGGATGAATGGAAGATCAGGCTTCGCAAAGTTCTTTTGGCGACGACCAAGACCGCGCGTCAAGGTATGACAACAAGCTATCGGCAGCGGCTCCGTCGGCTCTATGTAAGACTGGACGCAGCTCTATTGGTGGCGCGTACACTTGATAACTCACCCCCAGGAGCTCATAAGGACTGCAACAAGCCTAGCACCACCGATACTCCGGTTGGACTGCGGCGTAATGTTGCGGAGTGTCGACGCTTATGGCAGAGATCCAAAAAAGAGCGCCTTCTTGTTCAACACACGTATACTCCTGGAGAAACATCTCGACGTTTTTTCGCCCGGGTGGCGAATAAATTTCAAGACAACACCATTGTTTCTTTGGGCGGAAAGGCTGCATACGGGCCAAATCATTCTCAAGAGCTGGCTGATGAAATGGCGGATGGCTGGGAGCGTATTATGACTCATTCCTTTGCCTGTCCCGACGCTGCCGCCACTTTTCTTTCCCGGGCAGTCCCGCCAGGACCAGTTGATGACACTACTGTGATGTCGGCCGTTTCCCCCGATGACGTGAGTGCGGCTTTAAAGAGGCTGAAACGTGGGAAAGCCGCGGGACCGGACGAAATTAACAACACATTTTACAGAGATTACGCGGAAGCGCTCAGTCCAGTACTCGCTACATTCTACACCAGATGGCTTACGTGCAGCGTGTTCCCGTCTTCCTTCGGTGAAGCGAACATTCAGTGTTTGAAGAAATCTGCGTCCTCCGCCTTGCCGCTCGATCATCGCCCGATTGCTCTCCTCAACAGCGACTACAAGTTATTTACCAAGATTCTTTCGTTTCGGGTACGGCCATTATTGTCGCATCTCGTTTTGCCGGCTCAAGTTGGTTTTGTTCCAAAGAGGTCGATCCATACAGCTCTTGACATTTTCGCGACGGTACGCAAAGCTGCGACTTTGGACAGCAGCCTGCATGGAGCCATTGTGCTACTTCTCGATTTTGCCAAGGCTTACGACACGTTGCAACGTCCATATCTGCTTTCCGCTCTGACATGGCTTGGGTTTTCGCCTCATTTCGTATCAGTCGTGGCAGCATTACACCACGACACTACCTGCCGATTTCTTGTGAATGGATACCGCTCTCGTCGACGTGACGTTACTTGTGAAATACGGCAAGGATGTCCCCTTGCGCCACTTCTCTTTATTTTAGCCCTCGATAGTGTCTATCGGGTGCTACAAGCGAGGGAGGACATTCGGGGGGTGCCTATCTCCACTGGAGGGCGGGCTACAGAGTTCAAAGTATCGGGATACGCTGACGATACTGCTGTCTACCTTCGCGATCGGTCCTCGGTTACGCCTGTTGTAGCTATTCTAGAGGAATTTGCTCATGTGTCGGGTCTCCGGACGAATCGGTCAAAATCAATGATCATTGAGCTGGACCTTCGCGGATCAGAGCAACCTTTTAGCACCTGTGGTCTCACTCTGCGGGCCCCTAGTGACTCTTGCAGGTATCTTGGTGTATTGGTGGGACAACAGGACGCGGTGGCCGATAACTGGAATAAGTGCATACGTTCTAATGGAGCCGACTTGTCTTAGCCCGCGAGAAGACGCACACAGTGGAACAACGTGCTCTGCTAGCAAGTGCTATCGCGGTGCCCAAAATTAACTTCTTAGCACGGCACTGTTGGCCTCCTCCCACAGTGGTTACCCGGTTGCACAGCTTAATAATGGACTTTGTATGGGGTGTCCGAGATAGAAAGCGATCCAGACCCTGGGTATCTTCCGAGATAGCGGCCTTACCTATCCAGCAGGGAGGACTAGCGGTTCCCTGTATTCGGACGGAATTGATGACGATGGCGGCAACAGCAGTTGGACAATGGGCTGCTACTGTCTCTTCGAGAAACTTACTAATTGGTGACTTCTTATGGGGATCTACCGGGTCGGGTACGGCTTACATTACGCCTTGTTGGACGGAAGACAAGCTCCCTCGATATCGCGCAACGCTATACCGGGTCTGAAATTGTTGGACTTTTTTCGGCTCAACATGCACGCCAAGGTGCGGTCAGCGAGGTCTGTAGACGAGTCTTGTCGTTTACGTCGAGAGCAGCAGTCGCCTATAATGAAGACGGTAGTGTCACAATTGATGTTCGGCGGGTTATTGATGACAGATTGCGCGTTGGGATGCGAGCTGATGTAGCAGCATCAGGGCGATTTGACCACCGGTGGCTGGCATACGCCACGCTTAAGGATATGTCGTGGCTCAGAGATCGACAGGGTAAGGCATACAGCTTGAACGGGGCCGACTTTGCGCGAAACTTGAATTACCTTGGCGAGACAATGACGTGGACGACCCTGCAGAGTGGCATGGTCTTGTTCTCTCCTACGCGTGACATGGCGTCCCAGTCTATGGCAAAGCGACGGCATTTTGGGTCCTTCTGCCTCGCGCTGCTTTACAATTTCCCGTCACTGGTATATCGACCACTGGAGCCTGGGTCTGTGATTGCATACTCTACAAAGGTGCACCAGTTCCATGACTGGCTTCTAACTGGTGACGGTAAGTCGCTCAGACATTTCGATACGGGCATGGAATGTGGAGTGCAACCGGTCGCGTCGATGGCGGCATGCGATATAGCCGCGTCAACAGCTAGTAAGTCTCCTGTTCACTTTGGAGCGCATCCGGCGCTTACTCGCGTTGTCCACATGTGGGCTGGACGACGAAGGTGGCGGCCGCAACGACGTAAACTGAAACAGATTATCACCCGGCGGCGCCGTGCTGTAGGGACTAGACTTCTTGATGAACGTGTGGCAACGACGGACTTTCACATGATCTCGGAAGGTACAACATTGATTACTTGGAGGGACATTCGACGAATACGAGCGTCCTTTCCGACAAACGCTCAGACGCTGTATAGGCTAAAGAGTAACAGTTTTCCGCTCTGGAATTGGGCGAAGCAAGATCTGTCTTGCCCGGTCCCTGAGTGTGCGAATGCTGGTCCAGCTCTGGCAAGCCATATCTTTTGGACATGCTCTAGTGCGCGTCGTCACTGGGAGTTTCTCCTTGATCGGTGGCGATGGCTTGGAACTTTCCAGGAGGCTGAATTGAATGTTTGGGTGTTTGGCCTGGACCTCCCGGCGATTCCACCCTACGCCTGGGATGTAATTAAGCAATCCATGGACCCAGGGACTAATTTAATAAAAGCTCAGGCTGCTATATTTCCGGCAGCTAGAGAGCTGTGGCGTTTTGTCGTATCAACGACCCTTCATGCAATCTGGGTCGAGCGCCTCCGCCGCATGGAAGACTCGTCGTTATCACAGGAGGTGCACATAGCCAGCGCCAAGACGAGCTTTCGTCGGTCGGTCAGACGGTTTCGGCGATCAACCTATCAGCCCGAGATGGGGGAAGATGGGCAACTGTTTGCGCAGGTACGGTCGGCCTTGGCTGATACCCTACTCTGCTACGATGAACCTCCTTCGTTACTAGTCCGGCCTATCGACCGGCTCCCTGGCAAGCTTTACCTCCTCTTCTTTGACGGCGGGTCCCGCGGAAATCCAGGTCCAGGTGGAGCCGGGTCTGTGATTGTACGACTACACGTTCCGACTCACGCCGCATGCGTTCTGTGGGTATCAAGTATGGCTTATGCATCTGCCGATACCACTAACAATGTCGCTGAATATTGGGGGCTCGTGCATGGTCTTCGGCAAGCAAAGACAGGCGACTACTCACCCTTGCACGTCATTGGGGACAGTGCGCTTGTACTTTCTCAACTCCGAACACAACACCCTCCACGCAAGCCGCACTTGGTGCGTTTATTCAACGAAGCACGTGCCATCGCTAACGATATTGATGTCGCCAGCTGGGGACATCAATACCGCACCTTCAACAAAATGGCGGATCGACTGGCAAATATCGCTATGGACACGGGATCTTCTATACAAACGCACGCTATCTCGAACCCAGGTCTGGTCCAGGAGGCTTCAAAATTCCTTGACACTGATGTCAATCATTGGTTGGAGACCTCTCAAGCCGACCATCAACTCGTCATACAGGGCCCCGGGCTGACCTCGAGGAACCTGATTATCTCGAGACAGGAGTCTGCGCGTAGGCGCTCTGCTGTGCGAGGACTATCGCTACCTAGTATATAAAGTAGCGGTCGATTAGGTAACTTTGTTGCCGGATGACAGGATATAGCAGGTCGTACGCGTACCTAAATATACCTCACCTTCTCACTCACTCACTGTGCTGACATGTCGGTACATGGCGAGAAGCGAGTCACGCCAGGCTGTATCGAGGACCATGACAGTACATCGCCGAGATTGCGGGAATCGCGAGAGAACCCGGCTTCGTGCAGCTTGTACGGGGTGCCTCGATGATCTCGGAGCCATGGCATATCTTATATCGTCACATGATCAAGCCATTGGTTATCTAAACGACCCGTTGAGGCGACATCTGCCTTGATACCGTTTCGCACTTCGTCGATTATTGCGTGACGAAAGTCGATGGTGACACTGCCATCATTGTTGTAGACGGTGTTGGCTGTAGAAATAAAACGAGAAGCTCGGCGACTAACAGTCTGCACGTCTCCATGCCGATCGTGACGGGCACCCGACAGGCCAACCACTGCAGCTCCAGTCTCCCAGAGGGAGGCTTTAATTTGAGGTTGCACCTCTGCTTTCCAGCATGGTGTGATGTACGTCGGTCCATCCGCTGACTCCCAGAGGACGTCTCCGATCAGGAGCTTCCGCTGCGAGACGGCTGCCGCCCACTCGCCGACAGCTGATACAGCCATTGTCATCAACTCCGTCCTGATACATGGTATTGCCTGTCCACCCTGCTGGATAGGAAGCGAGGACATTTGTTGTAAAACAAAAGATCTGGAACGTTTTCTTCCCTCGCCCCCCAGATATAGTCCATGAGTAGTCCGTGAAGTCGTGCTACTATTCCGAGAGGCGGCCAGCAATGACGGGCCAAAAAGATAATTTTGGGGACCGCGATCGCGCTAGCCAGACGAGCCCGCTGTTTCACAGTGTACGTATTCGCTCGAGCAAGGACGAGCCGACACCAGATAGATCGAATACATTTATCCCAGTTCTCGGCTGTAGCTTCTTGCTGCCCGACCATCACACCAAGGTACCGGCAAGAGTCCCTCCGCGCAAGAAGATTTAGGCCTTGGGTATCTAGGGGCACGTCTGAACCTAGGTAATTGAGTTCAATCACCATCGAATTAGCCCGGTTTATGTAAAGTCCTGAGACGCCGAAGAATTCATCCAGAGCCGATACCACATGTTTTACCTCCCGACGTTCGCGGATGTACACGGCCGTATCGTCGGCATACCCGGACACCTTTATCACTTCTGCCCTGCCAACCGACCGGATCTTCACGCCGCTTATGTCTGGATGATTCTGTATAACTCTGTAAAGATTATCGAGAGCAAGAATAAAAAGGAGCGGGGCTAAAGGGCACCCTTGACGAACACCGCAGCGAATTTTTCTTTTCCTTGAGCGGTAGCCGTTGATGATGCGCTGGCAAGTAGTATTTTGACGGAGTGCCGCCACCACTGAGACAAACCTCTGAGAAAAGACGAGCCACTTCAGCACCGACAATAAGAACGGGCGCTGGAGTGTGTCGTAGGCTTTTGCAAAATCGAGAAGTAAAGCTATCGTCCCGGTCTGACGTGGGTCCGATGCAACTGCATTTTTGGCCACAGTGAAAATGTCGAGGGCCGTGTGCATCGACCGCTGAGGTACAAAGCCTACTTGGGCGGGATGGACTGTGTGCGCAAGCAGCGGCCGGACTCATGAAGACACAATATTGGTAAATATCTTGTAATCACTGTTTTTATTAAATTAAGCTTGCTATAAAAATAAACTTGCTGGCCCATTATGCAAAAGGTACACTGTCACTTTTTAAAAAGTTCCAATTGATATGTAACATTAAGTTTCAGAATTATTTCAAAGCTCAAATTGAATTAATAAAATCAATTGTAGAGTATAATGACTTAAAGCTTGCTTGACTGTAAGATAGACATATCAAACAGGGACGAAAGTCGGTAGTGAATAAAAAAAAATTAATTAGTTTTTTTTGGCCTTTTTTTCATTCTGCTTTAGCACCAACACCTGAAATTAATAAATCATTCATTAGACTGTCCTATTTGTGATTAAGCTTCTGAATGTGATTTACAAGATCAAACTATGCTTTTTGGTTCAGATCGTAGTCGTTTTTTTTAAAAACGTGGAGTAGAAGATAAGTATTGTGGTCCTTTTTTTAAAACCATTATGACATATTAAATAATTAATGGAACTTAAAAATTTATTATTAAAAATGAATTATTGAAATTGCATTTTTAAGAAAAACTATTTCAGAACTTTTGGATAATAATAGAATAGTCTGGGATGATGAATAATGCGAAGAATAGAAGAAATAATTACTTACGATGGTCCAGCGAAAGAGCAACTACAGTCGACTTCTTCAAACACTGGATGTTTGCTGTTTCGAACGTTCAGGGGAAGAGACTTCTCGCTAGCCATCTGCTGTAAAGAGTTGCAATAATAGGCGCTATTTTATCGGCACAGTCCCGATAATAGGTGTTGTTAAGTTCATTGGTCCCTGCCGCTTTCCCCCGTTGAGCTTTTTTAAAGCAGCACAGACGTCGTCTGTAGAGATATCCATCTTGACTGCTGCGTCGTCAAGACCTGTTGGGGGAGAGGCTTGCGCCAGAAAGGTTGCAGTGGCTGTCAGGGAAGTGAAGTATCGGAGCATGATATATCCCAATCCGTCTGCCATTTCTTCCGCGATTTCTTACGAATGCGTGTGCCCGTATGAAGCTTGACCGCCGAGATCCATGATCGTGTTGTCTTAAACTTGTTCGCTACCCGGGAAAAGAAACAGCGGGCTGTCTCGCCGGGGAAGTACGTGGGCTGAGCAAGAAGACGCTCGCGCTTAGCTTGCTGCCACATGCGTCAGCACTCTGCAATTCGGCCGCAAATTTGCCGAGAAGAAACCACCGCTGCAGACTGGTCGTACTCGGTGATCTGCAGGTCTTGTAGAGCCTTGTCTGGCTCAGCAAGAAGTGCTTCATTAAGCCTCTCATACAGTCGCCGGAGCCTCTGCTTGTAGCTGCGCGTCATACGCTGTCTTTCAGCTTTGGTTGCAGTCAGAAGCGAGATTCGAAGATGCGTCTTCCAGCAGTACCACCATTCCGCAAGCCGGCGAGCTGTCGCGACCTCTTCGAGATTCTGATGGGGGTCCTTGTCGATATGGTGCCGCACTGTATTTAGTGCAGTGAAAATGACCTGTTTCACGTCTGCTTTAGCACTCTCTGGTACGGGGTATACATGACGCGGTAGTCTAAGTCTGACGGTACAGCGAGGTGCCCCAAGACGGATCGAGACACCGTTATGGTCGTAGGTAGGCCCTGGAATGGACTGGTGAACATCTCGGACCCAGTTAGTATGATGGGAGCTAACATACCATCTGTCCAGACAAAAACTGGCGGCCTTCCCTCCAGGAAGAGTATAGAGGTACGTGTGCGCTGAGGCGTGAAACTAAGGAATCGAACGCTCATCAACCGACCGTTCGATCTCATTCTCAAGGGCGTCACTCATGTTTAATCGTGTGGGGAGTCTTCATAGAGCAGGGGAATCATGGCGGTCTGCTGGGGTCGCATTTGAACATTCGATATGTGGGTAAACATTGCAGTTTTAAATCACCACCCATCAACACCGGACCTCCATGCTCTGCAACATTTTGTCGAAAGAACTCAAACAAGTCCTCCTGATCCCCATCGGCCGTTAGTGCGTATACATTGAGGTCTAGAATGGACTACTCCTGATGGGTGATCCGAACTGCCATCCAATGGCGAGTCCATAAGTCATCCTATTAAGGTTCCAATGTCCGGATAGAGGAGTATCGATGAAGAAGGATCACGACGCCGCCCCGGGGGCGTGTCGCTTATGTCCAGATCGTGCGCCCAGGTTCCTGTACGAAACCCCATGTTTGGTGGTATAGCTTGTTCATTGTATCTGCTTCCCCAACGGCCACATGTGTTTCCTGCAGCAAAACCAAGTCAATGGCCTCTCGGCCTTCTTGCTGTCGAAAATGGTCAAACCACTCGGCGCGCATGTCCGGGTGTTTGCGAAACCCAGCAACATTCTGTGAATGAAGACCACTAGCATTCTCTCGCGGGTGTATGCGACGTCGTTCGTATTAGTGGTTGATGTTTCTTTGTTTACCGCATCCGATATATGGATAGCGTGCTCGTGGGGTCGTCTTTTGCCATCCCATTTCGAAGGAATGGGTGCATCCACGCGTCGCGCCGTAGGAATCCGATCGGATGCGGTGCCCTTAGTAGTAGAGAGATAACGGCCGTTTCTCATGAGCAATGATATCGATCGCCAGTTCCAATTGGAAGGCTTGGCGAGCACCCCTACAACGGTAGCCTGAACAGCAGCGGGGGTGTAAAGACTGTCGCCTTAGTCTGCGGCACTACGACAGTGGTCTCACGCTCGGGTGGCATCAAACTTAATAGTAATATACTTAATACGTTCAAGACTCCCCAGTGATCGATGTCCGTAACCGGATTAACCACAGTTGCACACATCAGATCTGGTTGCAACGTATTGACGCGACGCTATCGTTGAATCGAGTTGGTAGTCCGCCATCAAATTTTTCCCTTCTGACCATCCGCCGTTGCAGCCCATCCCTTGCATAGTTTACGAAGGCGCTCATCGTGAATGTTGGCATGTTTTCGAATGACCGCTAGTTGAGAGTCGCTATTGATGGCATGACCGAAGTTCCGGAGCGATTCATCATTCATGTCTGCTATAAATATCACCAGAAGGGGAAGCGCGAACACCAGAGTCGCGAGCTCGGACGAACAATGGGTAATCTAATCGTTCTGGCCTGGAGGGCCGGCTTAACGGTGACAAAGCAGGTAGCAAGGCAATAAGTCGACGTGCGGCTACCCAGAAATTGAGCTTGGTCGCGTTCGCTTGAATCTGTTTTGTGCGCTCCCGGGACTGCTGCCTCAATAACTGCATCCACAGCAGTGCCAGGAAATTTTCGGTTCCGCGTAGCTCCGAGCGTTTGTGCATGGTAGGCTGGAGTCCGTATGTTGCCTTTTTCCGGATGACCGCTGGAGTGGTGACCATTGGGACATTACGCGTAACGCCGGTGGGTATGGCGCTCCCACAATCACTGTGAGAAATATCGGCGATATCATTTTCCGACAGCTGAGATTCTTCAGCGATGGCCTGGGCGAGAGATGCGGGAATAGGTACACTAGATGCACATTGAGGAGGAGTGACATCCCCCCATGCAAATCATTTAAACGCATCGTGTATCCAAACGTGACGCCACTCCCCATCATGGATACGTCCAGATTTTGCGGGATTAGGGAAACCCGGTGCGGCTGAGACTCGGTCTCCGCTGGTGAACATACTTGTGTAGGAGACGTGGAGGCGGTCTTCACTGCCGATGGGGACGGGACCGCTTCTTTTTGTTCTTCTGCCCTCCTGCGGCGGACATACGACGACAAAAGTCGGTGGATTGTAGCGCGGCTATTTTCTCGTATGATTGCCGCCTTTTCCGCCGGTGCCTCCTCCGGCGTGAAAACGATGACGACTAAAGGTGTCGCTCCAGCTGGTGAAGCTTTTGCAAGTCGCCGTTTCTTGGTTTTCAAGTCACTCTTTGCAGCAGAAACCGCTTCTTCTGCGTGCGAAGCTGTGGCGGTAGCAATTCGATAGTCGTATCACAATCCGGGCAGCTCTGTGCCGTCCAATTCCGCCGTTGGACCTTCCCTAGTGTAAACCGTTTCTTTTGCAATTGTCGATTCCAACACCCTCCCATGAGCCTCAAAGTAATTCGCCTTTGTCGCAAGTTTTAAGTTCTTCCTCCGCTGTCGCCTGCAACGCGATTACGCGCGACTTTGCTTGATCAAATTCATCCTAAGCGACGGCTCGGGCTGGAGCACCTGTGGGGCTTGTTTTGACCGCGCCTGAGTAAACGGTCCTAGCGGTGGGGTTCGGCTTTAGACTGCTGTCCTCGTCAGTAAGATGCTAGTTTAATTGAGCTAGCGCTGTCACTCTGCGACTGACTGGAGTCGAAGTATCGGTAGGAGGCTTTTTTATACGCGGCCTTGGCCTTACCCGCTTGTTGTGTCGCCTTTGAAGTGGCCAGGGAGGAAACAGGCTTAGTATCCTGATCGGAGGTAGCCTGTGTCGGGGAAGTTAAAGCTGTCGCTCGAGGAGGAATACGGGAGCTGCAAACAGGCGACTGCTGAACGTGAGCATGGTGTTGTTGCTATTATCCCATAGCCATGGCCTGTCCCAAGCTGTTGCTAGATTTGCGCTGTTTTCGTGGTTTCTTCTTGCCACCGGGGTCGAACCAGTCACACGCTTACAGATCCCGTGCAAAATCATTATCGCATTCGGTTTTGTTTTGGTATCGGTCGCAGAGGAGCTCGGCTTCATCCGTTCCATTTCAGGAACTGGAGACTGCTGTAACTTCTGTAGCAGTGGTGCTTTGCGCGCTTCCGCTTGCAACTTGGCCGTGGAGGCTGCCAGACGATCTGTCATTTTGTTGACATGCTTTATACGGCCCGTTACATCGAGGTGGACGGAGGTCAATTCAGGCAAGAAGATGGATGCGTGGGATTTCCACGGTGCTTCCTGTGGTGGTCCAGGAGGTGAGCACCTGGATGAGACGAGCACTTTGCGCTCGAATGAAAAGGAGAGTAGTAGTTGAAGCACGGAATCCGTTTGAATTTCCGATGGTGGTGTATGAAAAACGACGCACCAATCGCAGATACGTGCATAACCAGCTTAAGTTGATCCGGACAAATGGAAGTGTCGAAGTAAACCACGAAGTAATTGGAATCGTAGGCGTCTGTCGCGCTGGGTAAGCCGCTGGTAACCGAGTTCACCGTGCACGTCACACAAGAAGAGAGAATGACCTGGACTATTCCGGCCGACACAACGTTGGCGAGAACACGTAATTGGTACTGCAAAAGTCCACGACTATGCGGCCGAACAGTAGCGGTGTCAGAAGGAAGATCTTCGCGCTCCATAATGGCCGTGCATAATAGTTGAAGCGTGGCGCCTCTATATCCGATTACTTTTGAGTGCCACCCCACTGCCGCCGCTTTATCCGGGAGCAAAAAAGTAATGCGGCGAGTTGATGAATCCTAGCACGTACGTTTAGCACTCTTTACGAGGGTACAAGCTAGGTCCACCACCGTTGCTGGCCTTCACGTCGTTCAAGTAATTGAAGAAGTAGTGATTTCTACGCAATATGTTAAGGCATTCGGATGGATAGAGGAACTACTGCAAAAACCTTTCGTTTCAAACACGCTTCATAGAACTCCAGCATTGCAACCCTCGTTGCCCGCGTGTGCGTGCGTGCCAGGAATCCTGGAGGGGAAGGCAATACAATCCCCCCCATAATCCAAGCCGCCAGCGTTTCTTTCTTCAATGGAATCATCGGTCTCAAATCATCATCCGTTTTCCCTCCATGCCTTTGTAGCGGTTAGTACTATCATCCGCCCGTTGTCATCTCGTTCGGTGTCACCCTTTACCGCCGCCGCGTAGTTAGGGGGCACCGAATGTAGCCCGCAAACGCTCTCTGGCCGACCGACCGCTGGTCGATCGCTCGCCGGCTGATGACCCGGTATGCGAGCATTTGAACTCGGTGAGTTTAGCATTGTAACCTAATCCAACCGTCTCGTCAAGTCGCTCCGGCTCCCGGTTGGCAAGAGGTTCTTCCTCACGCCCCCCTTGTACAATCCTCCCCGGTCTGCCGGGCGTGGCGGTTGCTTGTTCCGAGGACGGCCCGGGATCCATGCGACCAGTCTGCTTGAAAAGACCGTGCCCGCCGTGCACGACCGACGTCTTTCGACGCATTTGCCCGCCTTTGGCGGTGATAAGAACAGTAACGGCACACTTTCACGTGCCAAAGTATTAACTTGCGTATAAAAGCGCAAATTTGGAAGTAAAGGAATTTAGGACACGGGGAGGTACTTCCGTGTCTGGACCTTTGACTTTGGCCCGACAGGATAAGGCTACAATATCACGAAGGCATAGTATGTTCAAGGACGCAGCCATGTATTATCTAGCTAGGTTGTACGAAGAATAGATTCTAGAGAATCACCTGTTCTTTAAATGATCAAAACCTCTATCTTTAACTTGCCGGTGCACCGGTAGTGCCCGCGAGTACTCAAGAGTCTTAACCGTGTCTACCACACTTGATTCTTTTTGAGCTAAAATATCACTCTAATGCAAATATAGTAACTGCCTTGTCCACAATCTCACATGTACGAGTCTTTTCATTGCGAGGTTTGAGTATCCAGGCGTCGTGACCAGCACGGGTATTAGAAAAATCCTGGCAATGCTAATGTACCTGCATCTGTATGGGGATCTGCACGAACGGCATCGGTGCCGGCGAGGTGGGGTGAATGTATAGTAATCTTTCGCGGTAAAGCTGAGTGAGATGTGCCCAAGACACGGTCTTCTTCACTCAAGAACGGCAGATTTAATTCATCGTAAATCCACCTAAAGGATGTTATATAATACAATGCTTTGCAATATGCCTACGTAGTAAAGCACAAATACGGCACATTTGTCAGCATAGGTGCACGCACACAAAAATCGTTCGTAAAGAATCGCGCGTTCGATTGATCTTGATTCTGATGCGGAGAAGAAAGATCACGCAATTTTTGGGAGCCGTAGATCTCCCCCTAGTTCTGAAAAAAACTCAGTGTAATATAACGCGACATGATTGGCTAATTTATAGACACGCCTTGAGGGTATCAAACCACTGTAACCGGTTTTTGACATCTATTTGACCTGATTCGGTATAGTATGCAATTGTTCTTGTGTGTTCTTTGGCGCAAGATCATGTTAAGGTTTTCCTACGACGTTTGCGTGCACGAAGCTTTCACGTCCGCAGGTTGTCTCAGTAGCTCATTACTCATAGATGTAGACGCCTCCACAGCAGCAAGTAATCTCCATCACGCTTTCATGCAAAGGGGTCTGCGCTAGTGGGTGGTAAGACCGCTACTTTCTTTCTATTCTTAATTTTATGCGTATTTGGATCGATCGTGCACGCGACGCGTGTTATAATAGTTGGTCCTGTTCGCTACTGAATAACTTCCTTCTTACCTGTGCTGTTCCGGATATGTTATAATGCGATGTAGGTCTGCATAAGAGCATACAGGAGGACATTAAGATGGTCGTGCACAGAGAGAGATGTTGACAAGCGCGCATGCTTGCCGATGAAGCCGAGGAAACTACATGCTCGTGTAAGCGTATTTTTCTGTAATGGATGAGTGACAGCACCTACAAAGTTAATAGACTCGTATCGAGGAATGTGGTCAAAGTCATTTCAATCTATAAATTAGATCCGTTAAGTTTTGTAGGTGTTGGAGTTAGTTCGATTAAACCTACACATTGTTGTTGTAACGGGGTGAATCGTTACATAACAATTTATAAGAAATTGTTAATAGAATATAACTATAAGAGTTATATTCTCAGAATATTGTCATAAGGACAAATATTCTGTAGCACTTACGAGTAGTCCCTAATTGGTTGATATAGGCCATTATATCAACCAACGAATACGCGCCACGACAGACGCACGCAATGAGTGGTGAGCAGATAACTGATTTACACATTTGTATTTAGACATAGTTAGATGAAGATAAATAGTGATTTATTGCAGACATTAACTATACTAAATACAGTTCTACTTTTTACTTTAACCAAGTACTCGCTTCTTCTTACCGTCTTCCTCTGCACGTACGAGTGTACGTGAAGTTACGAGGCACCACCGCCTTATTCTGTCATCAGAATAAGTAGCTTGTACTGTCACCAGTACAAGCTTCAGGGTGCCCCGTTACACCTGGTAGCACTTCGTAGTCCGTCCAAGGACCGCGTTCACATCCAACATGAATATGTTGGACGATGAAGATGACCAAAGCTTTCACGCTACGCGTGACGGCTACTCCCATTTGAGCGATGTCGAATGGGATGCGGTTGAACGAATGGGTTCGACCATGGGCATCCATGCTGTTAGCGTCATGCTAGAGGCTCTCAATAGAGATGCCCAACATGCTACTATCGCCAAGTTCATTCAAAATGAACTTGACGCCGAACGCGAGAAAGTAGCCTTGCTTCACCAACAAGGTTCTCAACAATCAGAGTTGCTGAGAGAACAGGGTGCTCAACAGTTTGAACTGTTGAGACAGCAGCAGGCTGCTGCTGGTGGGTCGATGCACTCGCGTCGACCCGAGACTTTGAAGATTGACATCTCTAAGTATGGGGGAGTCGAAGAGGACTCCCTCTTGAGATGGTTCGTCGAATTGGATGACGCCATAAGGGCGCGTCGCATCGACGACGGGGATATGCAAGTTGCATTTGCCCAGTCAAATCTGGCAGGACGTGCCAAGACTTGGGCACTGGGGCTCAAGCTGCACGACCCATATGCGTTTGGGTCGTTGGAAGTCTTCAAGTCGCGGCTCAGACAAACGTTTGAACCGCCTAGAGCTGAGTTCAGAGCTCGAACCGAACTCTTGAAGCTCAAGCAGGGTAAGCGTGATGTGCACGCTTACGCGCAACATATACGACATCTCACGAGTTGTATAAGTTCCAACCCGGTGGATGAACACACGTTGGTTTCGGTGTTCATGCAGGGTCTTGCGGATGGTCCCGTCAAGACTCACCTGTTCCGGCTTGAACTAGATTCACTAGAACAAGCCATTTCCATTGCGGAGCAGGAAGACTTCAGTCTGAGACAGGCTCGCGCCATCTCGACATCGTATCGTCAACCGAGACGATATGACAGCGGAGGTCCAGAACCGATGGAACTCTGTTATGTAGAGAGCGAGAAGGCTCGCTCTACAGACTACAAGAAGTTGCAGAGATGCAACAGATGTCAGAAGACAGGACACTACGCTTACGAGTGTAGTGCCCCTCGTCCAGTGTCTCGCAACACTGGGCGTAATGACCGTCCACCCATGAGGAAGGGGCAGGGACGCAGGTCCGCTGTTGGTGCAAAGACGCAACAACGGGATGGACCGTCAAAAAATGGACAGGATCAGTAGGTGCGGAGCACCCTAATGATCCAGCAACGTCAAGAGAATTTGTAGGCCTCTTGATGAAGGTTGCTCCCAACACACAAACGTTGTGTGTTGCTGCTCTAGGTAATGAGATCTCACTCATTACCTTGAAACTCGAAGTGACGAATAAGTTGTCCCTTCGAGCTCTAGTCGATTGTGGGGCGTCCAACAATTTTGTGCGACGCCAATCGCTAGAAGATGGTCACTTTAAGTTCAGTGAATGTGACACACCTCCTACGAGGATGACGGTACGTCTTGCGACAGGCGCATCCGTAACCGTCATGAAGCGTATAGTGAAGATCCACTATACGCTAGAAGATACCCAATATGACGATGACTTTATCGTATTGGATTTGGATGACAAATTTGATGTCATCTTTGGAATACCGTGGCTCAGGAGGTACGAACCACGGGTAAACTGGCAGCATCGAACAGTAACGATGCCTGCCGCTTGTTCATCAGATGGCCATCTGATGAACGTTTTGGAGCGTCCACAAGCGTGTGGATGTACTACGAGTGAGTGCGATGGCCTCACTTGTGGTACGGTCGTTATTACGACTGCACAAAACCTTAGTGTACCAAACGGTTACACTTCGGAGCAAAGTTCCGGCGGATGTGAGGAAACACAGGCTGCGCCGAAGGTCCACCACTCGAATTAGTCGGGTGGACTGGAACAAAGATGTATCCCTAGCGGGGAACATCTAGAAGAGAAACAATCGATCGCTCAGGTGAAGTGAAACGATAATCCTAGATCGACTGGAGAGTCTTTCGTAGAGGATCTCGCTGTGGTTGCACAACCCCAGCTAGATGAAGTTAAGGGAATAAGTCCCGAGTATTACAAATACGGTGAGAATAAGTTCCCCGAAACCCGCGGGAATAAGTCCCCGGGAAGCCGAAGGAATAAGTCCTTCGAAGCCTGAGGGAATAAGTCCCCAGGAAATGACAGAGACCTTGAATGTCATAGTCAATAACGGATCAAGTGTAGGCGCTTATACACTTGATCTGATTGCGCCTCCGAAGTTGACTTCGGAGATCACTCAGTTGCCAACGCTCGAACATAAAAGGTTCTTGCGTGATCTGCGTAGTGGCAAAGTCAAGCAGATCTGCATACTCGTCGCTGACGACGAGTGTGTAACCGACATAAGGTCAACAACAGTGTTTACTGAGAACGAGTGTGTAACCGACATAAGGTCAGCAACAGTGTTTACTGAGAACGAGAGAGTTCTCAGTAGTTCATCTATGGACGAGAGTGTCCTAGGTGAAAAGACACGAATTGAGCGATATGACTCCCAATCGTGGGAATCGCTCAAGAAAAATCCTCTCTATGAAGATTTGGTTGAATTCAAGGATGTATTTTCTGAAACTGTTCCGTGAGAATTACCGAAGGATAAAGGTATTCGACACGAGGTCGAGCTTAAACCAGGTTCGAAGTACTGTGTCATGAAGCAGTGGCCACTGCCTCGTGAACAAGTACTTGCGATCGACAAGTTCTTTGCCGATCGTTTAGCAGCGGGCCATGTGAAGGAATCAACTTCCCCACATAGCTCTCCGACCTTCTGTGTGCGAAAAGCAACAGGAGGGTGGCGGATAGTGCACGCGTTCAACAAATTGAACGCTGCAACGGTACCGGCTCAGGCGCCGATACCAAGGAAGGACGTAATCATTGATGGTATGTCAAAGAGTACCATCTTTTCGTCCATGGATTTGATGGATGGCTTCTATCAAATCCCTATGCGAGAACTGGATATACCCTATACCGCAGTGAGCACGCCTAGCGGCATGCTCTGG